GAACAATATTTCATGCATTGGAATATTTTATTTCCCTGATTATTTTGTATATTATTTATAATTTGTATACTAAAGAAATCAGACGACTATACGTTGATTTCTAATAAAATAAATTTTGTACCATATTAAAGAAATGGATTCCTCTAATAATTCTAATATCCAACAAATGCTGCCGGACATTGTCAGAAACGAAGGGTAAGTTTTAGCGGCACTTCGTCAAAAAAATATTGTGAAGGAATTACTGAACTGAATATTCTAAGAGTATACAGTATAAGATATTTGCACGAGCATAACAATCAATGACTAGGAATACTAACCATTAAGATTAACTAAATAACACATAGAATATTGTGCGCAATTATTTTAATTGAATAGCCTTATGTGATGATACATGAATAAGAAGTTCATGAATGTGAAGTTTAACAATTACGCAACCAAATTCGTAATATATTGAGACAGGGGTTTGGAATATATATTTTGTATAATAAATAATTACTTCTGAAATAAAGTGAGAAGGATTACCTGTATATTATCTGAAAAGCAAATACGGATGAGTATGTTGACAAAATTGATGATCGACAAGATAGAAAAGAGGATATCTATCAGAAGTAATTGACAATATCGGATTTAAGCTAGCAAAATTAAAAAACCTAGCATAAAGCATAAAATGGGACCATGCCATCAATTTGTACATGTCGATTGTTCAAAAATGTTAGTGGCATATATAAAGCCGCCATTGTAAAATAATAAATCATTAAACTTAAGTAGTTTGTATATTATATAACTCAAAAGAAACGATCAATTATGATATTAAAAAAATTACGAATTTGGTAGAGGCTAACAAATTAGTGGAGATGGAAAACTCAACCCCTAATTCCTTGCAGATATATCAAGTGTAAGACACATTAAATAGTTTTCTCATGTAATGGAATGTTATTGTGAATATTATTTATATGTAAAGTGAAGTCATTTGCAGATTTCTTTACATTAGTTATTCTCTCTCTATTGAAGAACGGGGAGGAGCTTTGTTGTGAGTTATGGACACAGAGTCCTAGTACTCGGTAAACTACATCAGTTGCTAATATTATTCTCATATATTAAAATCTTCCAATAAAATTAATAAATGGTTGAGTATATATAAAATGATATATGTACATATAATTAAATAAGTATTTTCATTGAGAACTCATCCTATAAAATTTCGAGTTGCCATTCTAGTTGGAAGATATATTCGCAATACGTTCTTCAATCAATTTTGAGGTTTTCTCAAAACAAATTGGTTTTCTTGAATCAGCACTATACCCTATAATTGGTGAAAGTACATCCAACCCTATGAATTTGAATATACCTCTTTGAATTGGATACAACGTATGGGAGATATCCCCTAATGAACCTTCTTCTGAGAAATCTTCTTCAGATGCGCCAACAGTTGTGATTAGGAATGTCTTTTTACCAGCTAGCGGACCTGTTAGGGTTTCACCACTTTTAGAAAATGCAAACTTCTTATTAAGAACTCTGTCCATCCAACCCTTCATAATAGCGGGCATAGAATACCACCATAGTGGGAATTGAAATATAATTAGGTCAGCCCATTTCACTTTCTCTTGTTCCTCGGTGATATCGTTGGAGAACATTCCTTCATCATACGCAGAAGCAGCTGCCCTAATCGGTTGTAACCGAGTACCTTTCTCGTGATTTAGGAAATCATTTTCGTCGACTGCAATTTTCCAATTCATATTGTAAAGATCAGAAACCTTAACCTCATGCCCGTTCCTTTTTAGAGCATTAACCGTAACATCTAGTAAAGAGTGTTGAAGAGATCTTTTTTCTGGATGAGCAAATATGATTAGAACCTTCATTAGTAAAATTGATATTGTTATTTTATTTTAAGTTGAAATTAAGTATTGAAAATTTGATTGTATACTTTATTGATATTGTCTAATATCTGAGAGAATGATATATGAGAGAGAGACATGTTGACGATGAATGTTTCTTGATGGAAAATTTATTCCTCTTTTATAGTATTTTATTTTTGAATCGAATTACAAAAATATATTTGTTGGCAAAATAAGAAAAAGTTACATTAGTCATATATTCTTCTAACTGTTATTACTAAAAAAAATTTTGTAATTAGATTAATATTATTTTTGTAAGCATCAACTAAGGACTTGGAACCCCGTAGTAGTTAATTTTTGGCCTTACTTAATCTTGATCTCGGTAATCACTTTTATTTTTCTTTTTTACAACTGTGAAACTTCCAAATTTTTTTCAACGGATCCGTATCTGACCGATCCGAGCCGTATCCGAAAACTTTTAACGACTTTCCTTGGGGGGATTCTTAGAGTAAAGCGGATGCTCTTACAGAGATAAATTAAAATTCAAGACCAAAAGCGAAGAAACATTCGCAGAAGGTGAAAATAACAGGACGGAGCTTAGACAGAATTCTCCCATTTGGATCAACCTTACCTTCACCACCTTCCATTTAATAATTGGGAAGCTAACAGTGTAGTGTACGCACCCCCCCCCGTTAGTCGGAATATTTCTGGAACTTTCTTTTACTATCTTCTAGTTTTGAAATTGTAGATGTTTGCTTGCAAATATTTTGGCAGTTACTTTATCGCAGCGGACCCAGAAATAGCAATGTGGAAATCTCGATTATGCCATATCGAAATTTGTCATTTACAAATGTTAAGGACTGAGAATTTGAGGTGTCTCTTATCATGCCATTCTGTCTGTTACTTCAATGTAATAGTTTTAGCATTAATATTTATCGTTGTTCTTTATTATTATATTTTTTTTTATTTACGTTTCTATATTTAGTACGTATATAGTCCTACTTTCTTGCTTCCTTGTCATTATTTATTGAGTTCTCTATAAATTTGTAAAAGCGGTCTCCATAATTTTTTGGTGGGATCGCACTGACAACTTCAAGTTTATGATTTATACCTCTCCAAAATGTCTCTAATCTTTTAACAATAGAATAATTGGTTAAGCAATCGATTATTCCAATGAAATATATCATCTGGCAACCATCTGATGTGGTGTCGATACTTAGGAGACCACCATCAAAATGTGTAAACAGATTTGTTGGTAATCCAGAAGGATCATTCCTAGTTAAGAATTTCTGAACATTATGTTTGTCTAATGTCCCAAAGCTTTTATCAACAAAGTCAGTCATATCATTTTCGGGTCTCTCAATATAATGAACACCGACTAATAAGGAATAGTCCATAGTGTTTAACTTAGAGAGGATATCTACATCATTTTTCAATTGTTTCAAAAATAATTTATTGCATGTTCGATCAAAATGTAATTTTTCATCTTGGTCTAGCCAATTTAAATCCTTCAAAATTATGCGACTACCATTAGTTTTATTGCGCAATAAGTTACTTTCAGCATTATCGTGTCTATGTAAATAATCTGGAATCTTTGTATATCTACCCCAAAGGGACCCCTTTAAATCAAAAGTCGTATCGATTTGTATATCTGGTGGGAAAAGGTTATTCATTACAATGAAATATACTTTTTTATTTTTAATACCAGTTTGGAAAGTGATCGGTAATTTAACTCTATGGAGACCATAAAATTGACATATTAGGGTATTAGGGTTCCTCTTAACATATGTGTAATATCGTTGAAGTGTCCTTCTTAAATGTGTATGTTCAGAATGATGAATGGTTTTGATAATGTATTTGTAATCTCTTGAATAATAGAAAAATGAACCACTCTTACCAGGTGAATTCAACTCATTCAATATATATTTTGATGTTAGGGATTCAAGATAATCCTTTTCATTAAGACCGAATGTCCTTCTGAGCTCTTTGAAAACATTTGGTGCATAATCCTTAAACTTAAACTCATAATGCGTCAGTATGGAATCCTGTAAGGGTTCACTACCTTTTCTATCAAATACAAGTTTATTGTTGTACGAAAAATCTTTGCTTGTTAACTTCACGTCATTAGAAGATGCACCATTGTCCTTCGATTTTTTTAATCTTGATGAGACAGTGTATCGTATACCTGTTAACATATCATATACTATATTAAAATTCACATCTCCTTCTCCTATTCTGTGGCCAGCCACATGAGTAGCTTCTTGGTCATCATCTATAATGGTTGTGTAATGTCTTCGTAATGGACTGCTAAATGTAGTCCTCGATGTATTACCGTTTCCTATATTCAAGGGCCCCTTTGAACTCCCTGGTTTTACACTTAGTCTTGATGATGTACTCGCAAAACTACTATCCATATCTATTGTGGATGCTGAGCTATTCGTAGTAGTTGTGGTCGTAGTGGTATTGGATTCTATCATTGGTGGTAAAGAGGATGAAGAATCCAGAAGATGTTTACTACCTTTTAGTTGATAAACAGGTAATGAACTCATGGTGTAGGTTGATGATCTTCTATCCCTTTTAGTGGTTTCATCAGGACTTGTTGAAGTATGGTCAATCACTGGAAAGATCTGTGAATGGTGGCTACGAGATTTAAACAAAATATTAGATCGTTGGTAATCGCCAGTATTTCTCTTTACTGCTCGCTGTGTGTCCATCGAGTTTCTATGAACATGATTGTCAGACGTGTTGTTGTTGTTGTTGTTGTTGTTGTTATTGTTATTAGTGTTATCATTATTCTTTATTGGTGTTGAAGAGACAGTTTTAGCAAGTTTCATTTTGGGATCTTGGCTCCTTCTAAAAATTGAGGCTGAAGACATACTCTTCGTTTTAATAGTCGGCCTCGTTGTATTATTTGGGTGAATCTGCGATCGTACTGTTGGATCCATTTGGTCCTCATTCTTATTTCGAATAGAGTAATCCCTATTCACTAGCATATTCCTCTGTGGATTAGATGATGATGATGATGATCTGTTGGTGTCTGAGTTAATGGATGTGTTTCGCAAATCGCTCACTGTCATATTCTTTTGGCTCCGTATGAGTTTACTATTTGTTGTGTCATTCTTAAAGGATGATGCAATGGTTTCATTGTTGGAATCGATAGGAGTCAATAGATTCTTTTTCGATTCCATTGAATAGGATGTGTCTGATATATGCATCTAAAGGTAGTAATATAAAAATGAAATTGTTTTCTTAAACTGGAAAAGGAATTAAAGGTCTAGATATGGAACCTTTGGGCGTGTGTATCGTAAGCTCCCTTTCGTTTCAGTTCTTAATAATAAAACAAAAAAGTAATGGGTCAAAACACTTTCTATCTATTGTATTGTATTCCTCTTTTGGTTTTAGTTGTTAACGAATGTATGAACGAATGGAATAGTCACTTCGTTGGTTGTTGATTTACTTGCTGCTGGATCAAAAAAAAAAACAAGTGCAGCAATGATAAATCAAAACACGAACAGATTGAATTGGATAAAGTAGCACACACAGATTACCAATAACTTCAGAATTACAAAAACCTGTGCCACTTCCGACCTGCTTCTCTCTCTATACCTCTCTCTCTCTCTTGTAGTAAATTATCTCTCTATCTATCTATCACCTGTCACTTTCTTCTCTATTTTAAAATCTGAACAAAAAACGTTTAAAAGAGGTATAGAAGATATAGAAACTTTTAGGCTCGCGTGCTGGCTGTGTTGGTCTACCATTTCTTGGCTGCGCGCGGCCAGGCATCACTTAGTTGCATGCCGAATTACTTACTATACAGATATTTATATTTACATTTACATTTATGTGCATATATACATACATATATATATATATATATATATTGTTCCTTTCCTTCTGATGAGGGATGGTGAGTCTCTAGCAGGGGGGAGTTCATACTGAGTTTCTAGTTTAGTGTCCAGAAACCTGCTCCATTGCCTCATTAAGAATTTGGACACTCTCGTAGACATCTCTGAATGTGTTGTATAGAGGCGCAGGGGCAAATCTAATTACGTCTGGTTTGCGCTCGTCAGCAATCACACCTCGTTGATTGATTATTTTAAAGACTGTCTCCATGGGTCTTTCATGATTTTTAGAGAGGAATAATAAGGATAACTGTGCACCGTGTTCATTGTCATTTTGATATGGTGTGATTATGATAAATCCTAAATTTTTACATGATTCTACATTCTCATAATAAAATGGAGACTCTTGAAGTAACTCTATCAGATAATTTGTTAACAACAATGATCTATTTCTTAATTTGGTAATACCACCATATTTTTCGAAAATTTCAAGAGATGTCCTAAGGGCGACTACATCAAGAACACTTGGATTAGATTGGCGGAATCCAAGTGCCCCAGGGATCGGATCAAAAGTATCCTTCATTAGAAACCTCTCTTCTTTGTTATTTCCCCACCAACCGGCTTGTCTTCTTAGATAATGATCACTATCTTCCTTGATATGATATTTTTCATGAACAAATATACCACCGATACCTCCGGGTCCTGCATTCAAGTATTTATAGGAACACCAAACGGCAAAATCAACATTCCATTGATGTAAATTAAGTTTTATATTACCTACTGCATGTGCAAGGTCCCAACCGATAACAATATCTGGGAATTCGTGAACAGCTTTTGTTATGGTTTCAATGTCAAATAATTGTCCTGTATAGTATTGAATTCCCGGTAAACATACTATTGCAAGAGACTCATAGTTCTTTTTAATGATATCCAGGATGTCTTCTGTTCTTAACGTATATTCCCCGACGCGAGGAGTCAATGTAATTAATCCATCTTGAGGATCTATATTATGGTTTTTGCATTGATTTATGAAAGCATAACAATCTGAAGGGAAGGCACCAGCTTCAAATAAAATCTTATATCTCGTAGAAGTTGGTCTGTAAAAAGAAACCAACATATTATTTAAATTCACAGTCAGACTGTTCAGCACAGCAACTTCTTCGGTCTTCGCCCCTACAATTGAGGCCATTAATGGACTCAAGGGTAAATCAATATCAACCCAAGGCGTACAATTTTCTTTGGGGTGTCTGAAGTGAGACTCGACACCACGTTGAGCCCATGCATCTAATTCTTGGTTAATATTGATTTGTGTTTGTTTAGGCATTAACCCCAAAGAATTACCACAAAGGTAATTCACAGGAGAAGTTTCTGTTTTCCCAATAGGAACGTTAAGTATTCCAAGCGACTTATATGTCGGGATATAAAATTCATCTCTGGATTGGCATGGAAATCTTTCGTCAAGTTCCATCCACTTCAAGGCAGAATTGATCTTCATTCTGAAATAAAAAAACCTTGTTATGTTATATTCCTAGAGTTCAATAGGCGTTGTAAGTCTAAGTTGTTCGAGAGTAGTGTGATATATACATATATATAAATAATTATTTATTTATTTAATTTTGTAAGTGACAGGATAAGATATTTATTGGGCGACAGGCGAGAAATTATCTGGCATGGCGAACAGAGTCACATTCTAAAGGATTAATCAGTCCGTTCAGTCAAGAAGGAAACGTTGAGAATAATAAAGGGTTTTCTAGTTACGTATCCATTTAGTTTCTATTTGTTAGGTGAAGGGATACTTAACAAGTATGCTTGTTAAAGAAAACCCTTCTTAATTTTTATTTTGGTAAAAAAACTGAATTAGATAAGGTGTCAGAAGGAACAAAATATACATTAAAACGTTGACTTCCAAGAGGTTTGTTCTTAACTATTAAATAGACCTAATATAAATTATATTTTTTGTGTTTTGGGATCTGCTGAATCCTAATTCTCTATAAAGCAATAGCATATGCTTATTAGGAGCAAATAAATAATAAACGGTAAGACGAAAAGTCGATAGTTGAAGATAATAAAGTAGGCTTATCAGACTTGGTCTGATATGAAGTGATTCTGGTATGAACAAGAAAATAAGCTAATGCCAAATATATATAAAAAGCATGTATTACGGAGGTAAAAAACATCTATGTCCTAATTCTTATGCATATTAAATTTTAGGTTTGGAAGAGAACCACGAAGAATAAGTTGTATAATAATGCTAGATAACTTTTAATAAAAATAAAATTGACGGAATGGAGTATGCTGTACAAGGTAATACTACTAGTAATGCAAATGCTCATCAGTAGAATACATACTCTAGTTTTCTTGTAGTTGAAAATACTTTGTATTATTGATTTTTTTGGCTCTCAATATTTTTTTTAATTTTAGTGCCAAGTGTAAAATGTCCCGATTGCTACTAAACAGTAAACAAAAAATTAAAAGTGATAAAAAAAATAGCATACCTAATTTTGCATTATGCTTTAATATACGCTTATATAAATACATGCTATAGTTCGTTAATCAGATTGTCCATATCCAAAATTGAAGAAGCCTCCATATCAAAATATTTGTCTCGCTCATCCAGAGAAGGTGCATCCCCGTCATTAATAAGCGATGATAGAAGAGACTCTTCAACTGATACTACTAGATTGCCCGCATCGTCTTCATCACTTGATAATAATTGATCTTGTATTAAATCTATGCCGTTGTGAATAATTTTTTCACCAGTTGACCCCTGTACTTGTGGCGTCAATTCATCTTCGAACTTTAGCCTTCTCGGAGAGACATCTTGTACCCGTTGTTCTCTCTGTTTCTTCCTCCTGGGACTAAGTTCATTGATTAAAGTGTTTATATCAATAACTTGTTTCATTTTACCATTACTTCCGTGAATTTTTCTTTGATATGAATCAACTACTTCATCTAATGAAATAATTTCTCTCTCTTTTTTAATTGGTTCAAATGTAGTTGAATCAAATTCAAATTTTTTACACTCCAAATTCCATTTTATTCCAAGTTTATTATTAGTCAGAAATTTTATTATACTTAAAATAATTGCTGTTAATCTTGATAAATTTTCTGAATAAGCTGAGAGCTTTGTTGACTCTCGTGGGCCATCAAATAGTTGATTAAGAATATCTTTATGTTCAAAAATATTCTTATCATTAAAATCACTTAATCGATATCTAATATATGACAATTCACGAACCAAAATATCTTCTGGAAATAAATAAGGTCGTTCGGGACGATGCTCAGCATATACATTTATCCCAAATATATCATAATTGTGGAGTGTATTAACAGATTCTGCCAAAATCTTACAAATACCTTCATTTCGATGTGTATATTGTAATAAAGGTTTGTTTGATTTAATCCAACACATTATAAATCTTAAGGTACCTAATGAGCCTGTTTCAGAACTAAACTTTTCCTTACAATTCCTAACAATTATAGAACCGAAAATTTTAGAGGCAAAATCAAATGACCAATTTAAATATCGTTTTTGCTTTTCAGTTAACGTACTTACATCAAATGATTTCATTCTTGTACCATCTTTTGGCATCCGTTCATGGAGACAACCTGCAAGTATTATAATCATCTTGAAAATTGTACCATCTTTATTAGGTCCTTCAGATAATTTATCATCTGTGAAAAAGAAGTGGTTAATTTTATTTACAATTATTGTTTTAGAATGATTATTATAGAAATAATATTTTAAAATCAATAAAAAAGCCTCCTCAATTTTCATTCTTCGTATTTCATCTGTGTCATCCAAAGATTTATCAATGACTCTTTCACTGAGAATACTCTTAAATATAAGCATGCTGTGCTTATGTCGTATCCTGGCTCCAAGACCTCTAATAGAATAATACAGTGCCATAAATGCATTATTCGATTTCAAATACAGCAATGAGATTTGCGAATATGTCTTCCCATAAGATGGTAATAACAAACTTGCCATTTCTAAGTAACGTTTTGATTTGTGAAATTTTCCAATGGAAATGTTTTTCTCTCTTGTTTCTAACAGTACTTGCCAATAGTGGATCTTACCAATATAGAAAATGCACTGATAAATTGTCTCTGTAAGTATTGCAGATCTTGTTTGATCAATCTGTAATACATTAGTTGGATTATCTATTTTGAACGACACATCAATATTGAGCTCTTGAATTATTTGAGTTGGAATTAACCCACCTATATTAAAATCGATTACGAATTTCTCGATAATAGCATAATAAAATCTATGCATAATTTTAAATAAACGTTTCAATCTGTATAATAGTTTCCTCCTCTCTACAAAAACTTTCCTCTGACCTTTTCTTTCTTTTGGCAGAGATTGCTTCCAAGCTTGGAACCAAATAAATAGAGGTTTTTGAATTTTGGACCATATCTCGTCCAATATAGAGTTCAATTGATCTCCCAAGTAGGTGTCATCATCTTGACTAAAATCATCCATATTCACAAAATATATCAAGCTTTCTTCTGAAAATACCTTATAAATGTCGGTATGAATATCCCGAACAATTTTGATAGAGGTATTATAATCCTCTCTCATGAAGAGATCACCACAAGTTAACCTGGTAACCTCATTATGGTATTTGTCGATTGCCCTTTTAGTTTCTGAAACATTAGGCTTACTTACCATTCAGAATGTTGATATATGTTCTCATCTAAAAGTACTTTTAGTTAAAGGTTAAAAGATATTTTGTTCTCTTGCTTTTAACTAACTTGATCTTCATGATAACTGATAATTAAATAAATAAGTAGTCACTCTTACAAAAACAGAGTTACCCGGAAAATCAAAACGAAATTTTTAAAGTCTATCAATCATGAATATTTTAACTAATAAGCTAGTCATATTTCTTCATCAACTCAAACTAGTTCGTGATTGATAGTGGCAATTATTGAGTCCAAGTAACTGAAATAAAGAACATTCTAAATAAATATAAAAAAGAAAAATCATTACCAGGTACTTTTCTAGCTGAAGTATAATGACGAACAAACTTGACAATAGGATATTTCTTCGTTCGTAAGTAATACATTGAACAATTCCCAATTACATACAATCAAGTACAGAAATTTGTCTTATTCAAAAGTAAAAAAAAAAAATACTCCACTCAAAATATGAAGGGAGGTGTTACGTACGACTTGTTCCCAAAATGAAAAAATAACGACCTCGGTGAGGATTGAACTCACGATCTTGCGATTAACAGTCGCACGCCTTAACCAGCTTGGCCACGAAGTCTCTTATTCTTATTTTATTCTCAGAAAAATTAAACCTAAGAGAATAAAATAATTTTAAGTTAAAAATATATCATATCATCAATAAGACGTTTTAGTTCAATGGTCCAGTGACAGGAATAATACAAAAAGGTTAATATATATATATTATGTAGGTGGATGATTGTTGAATTAATGTTATGGAGGCTGTAGTAACGACTGGTTGGAGGGTATAGGGGATGACCGTGGTTATTGGCACTTCAATATATACAATATTAATCGAATATAAATACTTAGGGTCAGTTTTAGCATTTGTGGAACAAACTTTATTTAAGCTTTAAATATTAAGTATAGGGGCTAAAGCATAATACTTTGGCGCACTAAACTGGAACTGTGTGTAACATATTGTAACACTTCCGTCAAAAAAATAATAAAGACAGATTCAACATTATATTAGTAGAATTAGAAAAAAAAGGAAACAGAGCCGAATAAATGAAAAAAAGGCAGAAACGAACAAGAAAAAATTCAAAAAAGTTGTTAAAGATGCATTTGTTGCATATTCATAGTCGGTACAAAAATGTGATACAACCTTCTAGTTTTTAAACTTTGGGGATTATATAATGGAACATAGATGAACTGAAACCGTATACAAAAATGGTAACCCTAAAATTACTACAATTTAATACGATAGAAATGTCACTAAAGTCACAAACTCTAATTATAGCCTTTATAGATTTTGGAATTTTGCTTTCCTCTCATTTCTCAATCAGAAAAGAACAGAAAATGCTAGTGTTTCGACAAGAATAAGTATGTATACTCCGGATTCTAACACTTTATATCATTGGCTATTGTATACCGCTATAAAATACATATTTGCGAGTAGTTAGGCAGAGTGGGAGGTACGGAAAAAAAACTGATTTGTACATGATGGCTCCAGAAAAGTTTCTTCGCAATTAATATTTTTCACATACATGGGATTGTCAAATATTATTGAGGGTGACTAACCTCCCTTCAATACCCCAAAGTTGTAAGATTTAGAGCCTAAAACAGTATAATCCAAAACATGTGAGAGGAAGTCTACTGGTTACGAAGAATCCACCTGTTCAAACTTGGAACCAGACACGAAGGAGATTCTATAACTGGCCACAACGAAAATAGATAAAAATATGGCACTACCACTATCCTTCAATATAGGATATTAAGTTAAAAACTTCATTCTCATAATTAAATTGCGTCAAATTGTGACCGGTTTTGGATTATAAAAACAGACTAGCATTGCGAGAGACGCATTTGTTTTCTTCTAATAAATCTGGGTGATAGTCACAAAATTGAGCAATATAAATTGATTTCAAGTTAAGTTTTATCTGAAATAGCCTCAAATATAACCTGTTTTATTCCAAATATTTTTGTTTTACACCACCATCAGCTTAAAGTCCAATTCAATTTCACCGTAGTGATTGATCCCTAATGTCATACATAATAAGCGATTGCGATGACCTTGTAGTATTTTTCGCGTTAAATCAAATACTGAAAAGAAAAGTAGTACCAGACATTTATTGGTGTTAAAAGTAAACAAAAAATTCAAGTAGTAAAAAAAAGAATTGCATAATACTACCTTACTCCAGACCCACATTCTGTTAGTTTACAATTTACTTGACTAGATGTGCTTAGACCTTACTGCAAATCCTCTTCAGTATTTATGAAAGTCCTCTGTGTTGCCGAGAAGAATTCCATCGCGAAAGCAGTCTCGAACATATTAAGTGGTGGGCAGCTAGCAACCAAAAATACCAATTTTCCGTATGTTAAGAATTATGAATTTACCTATAATGGCTTTAATTTTGTAGGATCAAATGCTAGTTGTGAGGTGGTTATGACCAGTGTAGCTGGTCATTTAACAGGAGTTGATTTTGATAATCAGCAATACGGATGGGGGAAATGTAACCCCTCTGAATTATTCGATGCTAACCTGAGTAACACAAAGAACAAAGATCAAGAAAAGATTGCTCAAAATATAAGAAATTCTGCAAGAAATGTTGATTATTTAATGATTTGGACAGATTGTGATCGTGAAGGTGAGTATATTGGATGGGAAATCTTCGAGGAGGCCAAGAAGTTCAATAACAGACTAAATGATAACACATTATATAGAGCTATCTTTTCGCATTTGGAAAGAAACCATATCATTGGAGCTGCAAGAAATCCCCAAAGACTGGATAAACGTGCCGTTGATGCGGTTGGAACAAGAATCGAGTTGGATTTACGGACAGGTGTCTCGTTTACAAGGCTTTTAACTGATACCATGGCAAGAAAAGTACAGGCATCCCAACAGCAATCCATGCTACCTCCAACTAATAACCACACAAGTAAAAAGGAAAATGTCGTGATTTCATATGGCCCTTGCCAGTTCCCCACGTTAGGGTTTGTAGTAGATAGATTTGAAAGAATACGAAATTTCAAGAAAGAGGAATTTTGGAGCATTCAACTAGTTGTATCAGAACAGGATCAAGGAGTACAATCTGATAAGGTTACCATTTTCCAATGGGATAGAGGCCATTTATTTGATAGGCTTGCAGTGCTTACATTTTACGAATTATGTCTAGAATTAGCAGGAAACAAAGCAAAAGTCGTCGATGTTAAATCGAAACAAGTTACAAAATGGAGACCATTACCTCTAACAACAGTTGAGTTACAAAAAAACTGTTCCAGATACTTAAAAATGAATGCTAGAGATTCGTTAGCGGCAGCTGAGAAACTTTATCAGAAGGGGTTTATATCATATCCTAGAACTGAAACAGATACATTCCCAGCAGCTATGAATTTAAAATCATTAGTTGAAAAACAAGCCCAAGAAAACAGTTCGGCTTGGTCTGCATATGCGAGAAATTTGTTGGATACCAACAACTCTGACAATAACCACAACAAATTCAAGTTCCCACGGAGTGGTTCGCATGATGATAAAGCACATCCACCTATCCACCCAATTATAGGGATAGGGAGAGATGCATCAATTACAGTGAACGAACGAAGAGTCTACGAATATGTAGTGCGCCATTTCTTGGCTTGTTGTTCTGAAGACGGTAAAGGACAGATGACATCAATTAGTTTAAATTGGAATGACGAAATATTTAATGCAAACGGGCTAGTAGTTCTCGAGAGAAATTGGCTTGACGTATACCCATGGATGAAATGGGAAAATTCGAAGACAATGCCTAGGCTGGAGATGAATCAAGAAGTTACTATTAGTAAAGCAGAAATGAAAAACGGGTACACTTCGCCTCCCAAACCGATGACCGAAAGTGAACTTATTATGTTAATGGATGCAAACGGTATTGGTACTGACGCTACCATCGCTGAGCATATCGAGAAAATTAAATCAAGAAAATACATCACAAGTGATAAAGTTGGTAAGGAATCATATTTGAACCCAACTATCCTCGGTGTAGCTCTTGTCCATGGCTTTGAAACTATTGGCCTCGAAGACTCGTTTGCTAAGCCGTTTCAGAGAAGAGAAATGGAAGATGATCTGAAGAAAATATGCGGGGGAACATTAACTAGAAGAGATGTTGTAGCTGATATTATTAATAAGTACAAAGATTATTATAATCGTACGAATCAGAACAAAAATAGATTATTACAGGTATATGACGAAGTCAAAATATCACTTTCATAGAGCCCTAGGTCAACCACATACTTATACATAACTGCATATACAATAAAATATTAACAAAACTTGCATATTCTGAATAAAAAAGACTACTAAGCGACTTTAATTTTAAAGGGCTTTTTTAAAAAATAACAATAGGTGTTTATGTCTCAGGAACACTAAGATACATCAAAACATAGAAAACAAAGTTATGCATATACCACGTTGGATTTAGTGCTTTATCATTTTTCATACATACCTATCATTTAATTGAAAAGTAAACTCCATTGTTTTTTATAAACTGAATGTCATAAAAACCATTGTTACTATTCATGTCAACAGATTTATACGACTACGATATAGCAAAGGAAAGTTACAAACAATACATTAAAAAGGATCACATCAATGAATTACGATGGCTTATTAAGGATATAATTAAACCTGATCTACCATATATAATTGACGAAGTAGAATATTGTTTAACTGTATTAAATAACAATGAAATATCGCGAATGCCAATTACAACGGGTGGCTTTCCTTGTGATCCAAATGCACCTCAAATACAAGGTATAATAACGCGACAAGGCCCTTATATATTAGATATTCAATTTACAATTAAGTTTGCACATTATAAAAAAGGTCAATTGATTTCATTCCGAGGAAACTCAGACTTAAATGCCACTGTAACTACAGAAAAATATGAGTTATTACAATTACAGGTGACCAATAAGAAATTGCTGGAAATATTAAAAAATTTAGAAGATTTAGAGATGATAAATGATGATGAGACGTTTGTTCAACTTTTTGAAAAGATTCTAAGCTCTTTGACTCAATTAATTAACATTTTACAGAATCCCCCAAACGAATTAAATTTTCCTTTCGATAATAATAGCATTTTAAAACATTTCTACGAGAGAAGTTATAATGACCTTTGTGAATCTGTACATCACTTATTAAGTTTAGAAGTTGCACTTAGCGGGGACAAGTTCATCCTTGATTTTAGAAATTTAGACAAAGTCACGAAGAGGCCATGGTGCCAAATAGATCCCCAAGATGGCAAGTCCCTTGTTGATAAAATTAAAGAACAACAGAGAAGAGATAGAGGGAAGAAACTAGAAGACATATTAGTAGAAAGTAATGTGATAGTTGAAGAAGCGAGTTTATTAAACAACCTTATGCAATCAACATTCAACAAAGAATCTACGACTTTGCAACAGGCTCAGTTTTTCATTAGCAGATGCATTACTTTTGATGGTAAAGTAATAACGGAGTTGGAGAAAGTATCTACATCCTGTAGCGACCAATCATTAATGAACTTAACGAACAAACTTAATGAATTAGAAGAAAAATTAGGTAATCATTTTAATAATTTATCTATATAGAAGGTTAGTTTTCACTTGACTTACAATCTTAGCATTTACTTTTACCTAGTAATAAAAAATTGTGCATGATGATTTTTACTATTAACATTATTTACATTATCTATCATTCTGTTTTCATGATGAGGGTATATCTATTTACAATTGATTCATTTCTGAACCATCAGTCTGCATTCTCTCAACCGTGTCAATTCCTAGTAGTTTGGCCAATTCTCGTACAAAAGCAATCGATATATCTTGAATTGTCACATTTGCATTAGGAAATTCATTTAATATACTTGTTGCCTTACCGTCTGGATTACCGCACATCTCGAAGTTGTTCAAATATGAGAGATCAGGACAAACATTAATACATATTCCATGTGATGTAATCGACCGTCTCACATGAACTCCAATACTGGCTATCTTATCATCATTCATGACCCAGACTCCAATCTTATCACCAACTCTTTTGGTGTCAATATTTAGTGGTAAACCTCCTTTTCTGACAGGAGCTATCTTCAAAGTGTTCTTCGCAGCCGTTTCAATAACAGATATTAAACATCTGGCAGGAAAATTCTTAAATGCTTTCAAATCCAAAACAATATAAGCAACTATTTGTCCCGGCCCATGAAATGTTAGTTCTCCACCCCTTTCTACTTGTACAAATTTTGGTGAAGGATTCATTATATCTTTTGTTGGCTTGAAGTTTTCAAGTTGAGATATCTGCTCCTGCGTGATTACCTTCTTAATTCGTTTCCCTCCAGTGTAAGTTGGCTCGTACTCAAACGTTAAAACCATTGGGTTAGGTTTCATAGCAAGTATCTTGTCTAATATTTGCTTTTCATTAGAATTTATAGTTGCATTTCCTTGATACTCGTGTTCCAATTCGACCAGTTTTTGTTCAATTTTTGATTGCACTTTCTTCATGTCCAAATTGGCCCTAACAAATTGCTCTTGGATTGCTAACCCTTGCTGGAAGGGCATTCTCTTAGTAAACTGTATGTGTCGCAATACCCTAGCAGACGGATCCACAGGCTTTGTTATACTCTTGTGCTTTAAACGATCACAATTGTCATCATTGGCACCATTTGAGTACCATACCCTGGACAATATTCTTCTGTTGACACAAGTGAAGCCTCCTGTTACGAATGAAGTTGTCCTTAACATCTTTAAATCCTGAAGGATAAATATATGACTGTAGTATCAATCCTGAACAGAGGGTTATTACTGATTGTTCCCGGAAACAAGTTTCATTATCTGTGTTCTTGGTTATACCTTACTGCACCGTAAAGGGTTCGCCTTTCAGAATTATATAGACTGAAAAGGAAATTTACAGGTTTTGGCAGACTTACTTTAGTACGTCGACAAAGACAAACCATTAAGGGACGACAAACAAAAACTTTTAACAAAGGGTTACATGGTTGCCAAGACTCTTAATTATAAATTTGTACGACTGAACGCCACAATAACTTTCTATTTTGTACTAAGATGTCTTCCACAAGTGTAGCGTTTTGTATATCGCAGGATTTAGATATCCCATTAAGGATTAAAATAATATCTCTAGATGGATACCGGAAGTTAGTGAGAGTTTCTGAACGATTACGTGACCCCAAATTATCATTATTAGAATCTAATGTTGGAAATGTGAGTAATTTGATAGTATCTGTACAAGTTTTTGACTCAGAACGTGATAGAAATATGACTATACCGGTATTTACCCCATATATCTCTTTCAAAACTACGAGAACATGGGATCATTGGTTAACGTTACCGATAACTATTAAAGATTTAAACTTAAATAGTACCCTAAGAATTGTACTGTGGGAATACAATGGAGTGAAACGTATACCATTTTACAATATGGAAACAAATATATTTCAAAAGGACAATTGCTCATTGAAGAGAGGCTTCGAGTCATTGAGATTTGAATATAGTAAAGATAACAAGGATTCTTTTAGTGAAGTTAATGTAGAAGAAAATGAAATTCAAAAAAATTTGAATAAGTTTTACCAAGGTGAAGTCAAAAAAATTCATTGGTTGGATCAGATTAGTTTGAAGAAATTGAAATTGGAGGAGAAAAACATATCATACCCCCAGGACACCTTTGTCTTACATATCGAGTACCCATTCTTCGAATTACCAATAGTGTTTACAGAAAAACTCGCAAGAGACACACAAAGAAATATTCCAACATTACACAATTTTGAAACAAGCAACGACCCATCAAATAATCAAACAACAATAACCGACACAAAGATAAGCTTAGGGCCACCTAATAATTCTACCCTGAAATTTTATGACCCTGATCAATATAATTCTGACCCCATAGAAGAAAAATACAGGCGGTTGGAAAGAGCATCAAAAAACTCTGATTTAGATAAACATCTAAAACCAGATACAAACAAGAGGAAACAATTAAACCGAATTATTCAATACCCACCTGGTACTAAACTTACGGGTCACGAAAAAGGGTCCATATGGAGATACAGATATTATTTGATTAATAATAAGAAGGCTCTAACAAAACTTCTTCAGAGTACAAATTTTAATGAAGAGAACGAACGAACAGAGGTCTTAGAGTTGATAGATTCATGGGCAGAAATTGATATTGATGATGCAATCGAATTACTTGGTCCCTCATTTACTGACCTTTCTGTTCGTTCATATGCTGTAAATAGATTAACGAAAGCATCTGATAAGGAATTGGAATTGTATTTATTGCAATTAGTTCAAGCTGTATGCTTTGAGAATCAGTCAACACCATTTAATAATGCCGACTATAGTGAATATCAAATGATCAATAATTCAGTGGCGGCAAGCTCTCGCTTTACCCAGAAACACCAAAAACTCTTAACTTCTATCAGTCCAATGGATGCGGATAAATCTGAGTTAGATGAAGGAATCATTGTGATATCACCACTTTCTGAATTTCTCATTAGAAGAGCATTAAAAAATATCAGATTGGGAACATTCTTTTATTGGTATTTATTTGCCGAATGTAAGGATAAACCTTATCTGAAACAAATTTTGGAATCTTTTCGGAGTAGATTATCTGATAACAATCTCAAGGTATTGAAGAATCAAATAGAGCTGATTAAATTATTAGGCAAATGTTGCACCGATATCAAAAGATTAAAGGAAACTACAGAGAAAAAATCGGAATTTTTAAACCAAGTTCTAGTGACTAAAGTTAGACATTGGCTGAAAAAAAAAGGTTCTATAATACTTCCTCTCGACCCATCTGTTCAGATCATGGAAGTTGTTCCGGAATTGTCAAAAGTCTTCAAAAGCTCTTTATCACCGTTAATGATCACATTCAAGACAACTGATAATGATGATTACTCGTTGATGTATAAAGTCGGTGATGATTTGAGACAGGATCAGCTAGTAATACAAATTATTAGATTGATGGATGAGATGCTGAAGAATGAAAACGTTGATCTAAAGTTATCTCCTTATAAGATTCTTGCTACTGGGCCAGACGAAGGTTCCATCCAGTTTATACCCAATGATACAATGACAAACATTCTAAGTAAATATCATGGTATTCTAGGATTTTTGAGAAGGCATCATCCATCCGATACTGATAATCTCGGAGTTGAAACATCAGTTATGGATACATTTGTCAAATCTTGTGCAGGCTATTGTGTCATTACATATATATTAGGAGTAGGTGATCGTCATTTGGATAATTTGCTGATAACACCCGATGGCCATTTCTTCCATGCAGATTTTGGTTACATTCTAGGGCAGGACCCTAAACCATTCCCACCACTTATGAAATTACCACCCCAAATAATAGAGGCATTTGGAGGAGCAGAGTCCCCAAATTATGATAAATTTAGAAACTACTGTTTTGTTGCGTATTCTATTCTTCGCCGAAATGCAGGATTAATCCTTAATTTATTTGAATTAATGAAAACCTCAAGTATTCCAGATATCAGGATAGATCCAGATGGGGCTATTCTAAAGGTCAAGGAACGGTTTAACCTTGATATGTCCGAAGAAGAAGCGACTTTACACTTCCAGAATCTAATTAATGATAGTGTTAATGCGCTCATGCCAATCGTGATAGATCACCTTCACAATTTTGCCCAATACTGGAGGACTTAAGAACCTTTGTACTTAAATTTATAGAGACTACATACATGCATACATCACTATCTATATTAAGCTTTCTTCCCCATTCTTTTAACTGAGTGTCTATCATACGAAGGATGCTCTACTCTTATATATGTAAAAGATCGTTAAAAATAGGCGGCTTCACTGCAAAACAAAATTTGACAGCATTCCTGCTGTTTCGTTTTTAAGGACACACCAAAAGCATAAAAGACTGACATTCTCATTAACTACTAAAAAATTTATTATACAGAGGTGGGTTACCATTGACAATAGCTAGGAGCTTTAATATTCTAAAAGTATATTGCACTGTTGTTCTAAGAATAATGACTTTTACCGACTTCCTTTCGCTAATATCCGCTGTCGATATTGATTTGACTTCAGATAAGGATAACCATGACTTCAGGAAACCAACCGCTATGGTTGTAACTACACAACTAGGGATTGCTTCAGTGTTAGGAATTTTTGCATTGTTTTCGTTTTCTCTCTTACTTAAAAAATTACCACGTTTGTATGCAAGTAGGAGGTATAAAGATCAAGCATCATTACAACTCCCTACTTGGAACGAAAATAGTTTATTTGGCTGGATCCCTGTACTGTATAGAATCAATGACAAACAACTCCTAGAGTATGCTGGACTTGATGCTTTTGTATTTTTGAGTTTTTTCAAAATGTGCATCAAACTGTTAGCAACATTCTGTTTCTTTTCAGTTTGCATTATCTCCCCTATTAGATACCATTTTACTGGTTACTACGATGACAACTCTAATGAACCAGCCGGTTCATCAACTATGAAACACTTGTACAAGAGGTTGATAGATCCAACATCAGATGGAGTACTGGCTCCCGAGACGGCTAGCATGTACCTATGGATGTACGTCTTATTCACATATTTCTTCACATTTCTAGCAATAAAAACATTAACATCTCAGACAAAGGATGTTGTAAATACAAGACAAACTTATTTAGGTAAGATGAATACTATTACAGATAGAACTATACGACTATCAGGGATTCCCATCGAGCTTCGAAGTATGGATGCATTAAAGAGAAGAATCGAGGAGCTAAAGATTGGTCAGGTATCATCAATCACTATATGTAGGGAATGGGGTACATTGAACAAACTTTATCATTATAGAAATAAAATCTTAAAGAAGTTAGAATTAGCATTTGCTGATTGTCCACCACATCTTAGAGATCATACAACGTTCCCTGAATCTTTTACTATGAATCACAGTTCTTCCCAAGAGGGAACCACGGATAACAACATATCGTCAAATATTGAACAACCAGTTTCTACAGCTACCGATAATTTGAATCTTCCTTCTACTGCAGATGCCCCTGAGGATAACGAACTTTACTCAGAAATACACCTTAAAGAAAGACCTACAATGAAAACTGGATTGTGGGGGATGTTAGGTACTGAAGTCGACTCAATTGAATACCTGTCAGATCAATTAAACTTTATTGATAAAGAGATAATTAGAGCACGTAAATCGCATTATTCTGCAACACCTACAGCTTTTGTCACAATGGATTCTGTTGCTAACGCACAAATGGCTGCACAGGCCGTATTGGATCCTCGTGTCCATTATTTTATTACCCATCTAGCTCCAGCTCCGCATGACATCAAATGGGAACATGTATGCTTATCTAGAACTGATCGTCTGACGAAAATTTACACCGTGACTGTGTTTATTGGAATCTCGAGTATTTTCCTTATTATCCCTGTTTCATATCTTGCCACTCTATTGAACTTAAAAACAATTTCTAAATTTTGGCCTAGTTTAGGTAATCTTTTGAAAGAAAACAGGTGGGCTGAAAATATGGTTACTGGATTATTACCTACATATCTGTTCACATTATTAAATGTCGGTATTCCATATTTCTATGAATTTTTGACTTCCTACCAAGGTCTCGTATCATACAGTGAGGAAGAAATATCTTTAGTGTCTAAGAATTTTTTCTATATATTCGTCAATTTGTTTTTAGTGTTTACACTTGCAGGGACAGCTTCCAACTATTGGGGTTACCTATCTGATACCACAAAGATAGCATATCAGTTAGCCACGTCTGTTAAGGAATTTTCATTATTCTATGTTGATTTAATTATTTTGCAAGGTATTGGTATGTTTCCGTTTAAACTTTTATTGGCAGGTAGCTTGATTGGGTTCCCATTAATTAAGATTCAGGCCAAGACACCACGACAAAGGAAAGAACTTTACAATCCACCAATTTTCAATTTTGGTTTACAATTACCACAACCTATCTTAATTTTGATTATTACATTGATCTATTCTGTTATGAGTACAAAAATTTTAGCATCTGGTTTAGCATACTTTATTATTGGATTTTATGTCTATAAGTACCAACTAATATATGCCACAGATCATCTTCCTCACTCTACTGGTAAAGTATGGCCATTAATATACAGAAGAATCATGGTAGGGCTGTTATTATTCCAATTAACTATGGCTGGCACACTTGCTGGTTTTGAAGGCGGTTGGGTCTTATCATCTTGGCTATTTCCTTTGCCGTTCATTACTTTCAGTTTCTGGTGGGATTTCGAAAAGAATTATTTACCTCTATCACAATATATTGCTTTGAGTTCAATCCGTGAACATGAACGTGATAACTCGATGGTAAGTGCCCCTATGGAAACAGAAACATACCACTACCCATATTTAATCGGAGAGCTCGAAGGGCCAGTATTAAGCTAATAGAAAATAATAACACAGACAAACAAGATACGCATCACTGTGATATTAAAATAAATAAATAAGTAAATAAATAAATAAATAGATAGAATATTCGTAACAATACATAAAATACAAGTAATATTAAAACATTATAAGAATATCATTTGCCGGGTCCACATAGTATTCATTATGTGGTTGATAGCTAAAGGTAAATTCCCTCCTGTCAAGAATAGGATCATAATAAGTCTAACGACAACAATTCTGATTAGTGTCGCAGTCAAGAATATTCGTATAATCTTCCAGTATGATAAGTTAGTCACTATCCTCAATGATTCAATAATGTAAAGATTCGCTACACCCTTAATGATATCCATCGATATTATAGTGTCGTAGGGCCAAATTAACATCAATACAGGGAATATCTTTGCCCCATACGATAACAAAATTGTATACGATACTACTTGTTTGGCATATTTAACATCATGGCCCCAATTATAGAACCCTATTACTGCATATTGTATCAAATTATGAAATAATAAGATATCGAGCAAAGAATATAATGTGAAATAAATGTATTGGAATTGGGCACTTCTCATATGGATCAAATCTAAGGAGATATTTGATTTTGCTGCAGATTTCCACATTTGAGAATATCTTGATTCTTCTGTTGCACACTTGAGATATATCTCAAAAGTCAACAAAAGAATCCATAATCTATTCAAGAAATCAAATCTATTCCACCACCGACTCAATTTATTCATAATAATTCCATTCGTCCCTTTATCCATATCGGTATATTTATCTAGATTACTCTCCAGTGTATTGAAAACCAAATGGCGATATGCACCAGGTTTCAAAAGTAACAAATCGATGAACAGGATCACATTATCCCTCTCGACGTATTTATCTACTGGTTTGTGACAGTAGTTGCATTGCGTTAGTTGTATATGTCTGTTCGAATATGTTACATACAGCGACTCAGCTGGCTCTAGACATGTCACACATAGCATTTCCAACAATCACACAATCATATATGACCCTGCCTATCGAATATAATAGTAGTGGTACTTCACTTTCTTTATTTTTTTAACATTGTATCCCAGTTCCATCTTTAAATTCTTCATAAATTTGTTTATTTAAACTGAAAATTTTTTCCAGCTTTACGTAATCGCGATGAGGTTAATTTGATAAATACATTTGTATATTTACATAGGAGAAGGGAAAACCGTCTGAATTCATATAGATATACATGTAAAAGACAGGATTAGTTATTATATATAAACTACGCCTTATATAAGAATATAGATCTATCAGATAAACAAAAACAAAAAAGAAGATCAGAAATGTCTAGAGTTGGTGTCATGGTATTAGGGCCTGCGGGCGCTGGGAAGTCTACATTCTGTAACAGCATCATTACACATATGCAAAATGTAGGACGTCGGGCTCACATCGTGAACTTGGATCCTGCTGCTGAACCAAATAAATATGAGTTTACTGTGGATATTAGGGATTTAATCTCTTTAGAGGATGTCATGGAAGAGATGGATCTGGGGCCTAATGGTGCTTTGATTTATTGTTTCGAGTATCTTTTACAAAATCTGGATTGGCTCGATGAAGAATTGGGGGACTATAACGATGAGTACCTAATATTCGATTGCCCAGGTCAAATAGAATTGTATACTCATGTACCTGTATTACCAAATATTGTTCGTCATTTACAAGGTCAACTAAACTTTAGTCTTTGTGCAACATATCTATTGGAGGCTCCCTTTGTCATTGACAGTTCTAAATTCTTTAGTGGTGCTCTATCTGCAATGAGTGCTATGATACTTTTGGAATTACCTCATATCAACATTCTAAGTAAGATCGATATGGTAAAAGATGAATATAGTCGTAAACGATTAAAAAGATTTTTAAACCCGGACAGTTCTTTACTTTTACAAACTGCAGATGCCGATACAAATCCAAGATTCCACAAATTAAACCAAGCTATCGCAGGTCTGGTTGATGACTTTGGAATGGTTCAATTTCTTCCATTGGAAGCCAAGAATGACGACTCAGTCAGCACAATCATTTCTTACATTGATGATGTAACGCAATGGGCTGAGGGCCAGGAGCCTAAGGAACCTAATGATGAGGTTGAAATTGAAGAAATGTAATAGAAAAACACAAACATAAAGGGCTACCCAAGTTATTAAAGTAAGTACAGACATTTGTACATATATACGCATATATAAGTGAATAAATAAATATTTTGTTCTGATTGAGATAGTAGTGATGGAATGGTCAAAAACCCATATCGTTCATCGTGATAATCGGCTCACCGAATATTTTTTTTCTTAAACATTGAAATTTCTTCAGTTAAAAATATTAAAAGAAGAACAGTTCAATGAACTTAAAGGAGAAATAATATTTTTTAAAAGTTTCCAGTGAAGAACAATTAACGAAACGGTATTCGAGGAATTGAGAAAGTAACAATGGCTGCTATCACTGAAGTCAAAGATCAAAATAATGGAGCTGAAACCAGCGGAGCTCATCGGACCGCTGCCCACACACATATCAAGGGTCTAGGGCTGGATGATACAGGGGTTGCTAGAGCAGTAGAAGGTGGATTTGTAGGTCAAGTTGAAGCTCGTGAGGCCTGTGGTGTGATTGTAGACCTAATCAAAGCCCAAAAAATGTCCGGTAAAGCGATTTTACTAGCAGGTGGTCCTTCCACTGGTAAGACTGCTTTGGCTTTAGCAATCTCTCAAGAACTGGGTCCAAAGGTTCCTTTTTGTCCAGTGGTTGGTAGTGAACTTTACTCTGTAGAAGTTAAGAAAACTGAGGCTCTGATGGAAAACTTTAGGCGGGCTATTGGTCTTAGAATCAAAGAGACTAAAGAAGTATATGAAGGTGAGGTAACAGAATTGACACCTGAGGATGCTGAAAATCCACTTGGTGGATATGGTAAAACCATCTCTCATGTTGTTGTTGGATTGAAATCTGCAAAAGGTACAAAGACCTTGAGACTAGACCCTACGATTTATGAGAGTATCCAACGTGAAAAAGTTAATGTTGGGGACGTCATATACATAGAATCCAATACTGGTGCAGTAAAACGTGTCGGTAGATCCGATGCATATGCTACAGAATTTGATTTGGAGACAGAAGAATACGTACCTTTACCAAAGGGTGAAGTTCATAAGAAGAAGGAAATTGTCCAAGATGTTACTCTGTATGATTTAGATATTGCCAACGCAAGACCACAAGGTGGTCAAGATGTTGTCTCCATGATGGGCCAATTATTGAAACCAAAGAAGACTGAGATTACTGAAAAATTAAGACTAGAAGTTAACAAAGTCGTAGCCAAATATATTGACCAAGGTGTAGCCGAATTGGTTCCTGGTGTGTTATTCATAGATGAAGTCAACATGCTAGATATTGAAATATTCACATACTTGAACAGAGCTCTAGAATCAAATATTGCTCCAATTGTTGTATTGGCGTCAAATAGAGGGATGACTACTGTAAGGGGTACCGATGATGTCGTATCACCACACGGTGTTCCACCAGATTTGATTGATCGTTTATTAATTGTACGTACATTACCATACAACAAACAAGAAATCAGATCTATTACTGAGAGAAGAGCAAAGGTAGAGAATCTTCAATTGACACCTGAAAGTTTCGACTTACTAGCTGACCTGGCTATGTCGACTTCTTTACGTTATGTACTACAATTATTATCTCCTTCTGGTATACTTGCACAGACTGCTGGTAGAACTGATATATTACCTAGTGATATCGAGGAAGCCAAGTCATTGTTTTTGGATGCCAAGACCTCCACAAACATTCTTCAAACTACAAGTAATTACTTATAGCGACTTCATTCTAATATAAACATTTTGTAACCATGTAAAACAATATCTTCAAATATATATAATGGTATCTTTGGGAAAACAACCTATACCGGAAATAAAATTGCCGTCCTAATATGTCGCATTAGTTTTTTAAAAATTTTATTAAATTGCTATATATTATATATTAAAGTTCAATTCCAGATCAGTTCTCTGCAGCAAGTGCGGTTATCTCTTCAAGGAACTCATTTGGTGTAATCAAGTTTGTACCACCGTACATAACTTTCTTCCAGTTATGTAACTGAGAATGTGCCCATTCTTGCAAGTTTTGATACTCCAAATAGTTACTACCACCAATAACAAACACAACAGATTTATTGTACGATTGCCTTTTTGGTTTCTTGGTGTGGGAACCTCTAGTAATCTTTGGGTCAATATATATGTAATTATCTGTTGTGTCTAAATTCTTCTCTGAACTGTTCATTGGATCCATAATAGCCTCTACTACATTTGTTATTGGAATAGTCTTCTTCTCTGGTAGCAGTTTTTTAATACCAGAGATTAAGTTACCAACAGTACCTGGAAGTCTACCTTCAGTTAGACTGTAAAGACTTGATAATGACAAATTATTCTCTGTAGAAGCTTTATTAGAGGTCCCATCTTCTAATGACTTATTTTGTAGAGTTTTGCTAGACAGTTGCATATATTCTCTCAATTTGTAAATATATTTTAATACAGTAATATCGAACTCGTTTTTCTTGAAATATTCTTCAACTTCTTGGATGAAATCTTTTGGTAACCCAACATTTGAAGTCAAATATAATACAATGAATGATCTCATCTTATCCTGTAGATTATTGACCTTACCATCATTTAATATATCATGGAAACTTGCTCTCATCTTGGTACCGTTAGGGTCTTGTTCGATCTCAAAGAAAGTATCCAATTTCTTATCCTCTAGTTGTTCTAATAGACCACTGAAAATATTAACATGAGTATCGATGATAGCTTTCCTCTTGGTCAATTCCGGCAGTCTTTGAACCACTTCTTGGATCTGCACAGTATCCGCATTTGAATTTGGATCCAAATCTGCAATATTTTCTACACCTGTCTTTCTAGTGATCTCCTGTGCATCTTCTTTATATTTGGTCAATTCGTTCTCAACATTTTCGGCAGCTTCAGGGAATGGTAAATGAGAATTCTGGCTCCAAAAGAAGTCATGAGGATCTAAATCATATCTTTTCTCCTGTGCTAATTGTGTATCTTTATCTATAGTCTGTACAGTAATAGTATTTTTACTTAATTTAAAGATATCAAAGACCATACATTGATAAATCCAAGAGTGACAAAACATACATGCAAAATCGATCTGTCTATCCAATAGAATCAAGACAGATCTCTCCAAAGTGTCACTATTTGGTAGAACAGATACGGATGAAGTCTTAGTATTCATAACATAATCTCTCAACAACTGTCCTAATTTCTCTGCAACCATCTCTGCAGGACCATTTTTAGGAGCTCTAATGATTGGAATAGAATTTGTAGTCATTAAGACATTAAATAAACCTTTTGCAATAGTTGAACACAACGTATCGATGGTTTCTTCACTAGACTTGGGGTTATTTAATAACGAATAAGTATTTGGTAATTGTAAACTGAATAATTCAGGTTCTGTAACCACAAAGTCTAGGTATTGATCAAATACTTGTTTCACTCTCTCCGACTTCCCAGTCGTAGAGACATTTTCAGCAAAATATTCAAGTAGATCACGTTCTAAAGTCGATGTAAAGTTAATATAGAATTCTGCATACTTATCATCCTTTAGGTCCTTAATAATTAAGTCTAAGTTCTCCTTTGTAGGTTCCACGAAATAAACAGCAGGAACATCAGGTAGGGAGGCTCTATCGGCACGAATTAAAGTGTGAACAGTGACACCAGCCTTCAACAAATCATTCACACGTAACACACTCGATACAATTGCTGTACTTTGAGCATCTAGTACAAGAATCTTCCAATATATTTCGCTTTGGTTATACGTGTCTTCGAAGTCCTGGTTAGCAACGCTTTGGTTCAAAAACAGCATACGCAGAACGGCTGCTACTTGCATATCTCGCAAGCTCACCTCCTTTTGACTCAATAACTCTTCTGACATGATTATTAGGTCTCAACTCTTTGTGTTTTTTAACTCTATTCTCTGTCTTCAGATTTATACTCTGAAGTTGTCCAAAGTTCAATTCTATTTATAAATATTTATTTATTTTCAATATTTTCGCTTCGCTTCGCCAAGTTTTGCGTTTGTTGATATAAACAGCCCAAAGGGCTCTAAAGAGAGAAAGTTAAACAACATCTCAAAAGACAACGAAGTGGTTGAAAGAAGTACAAGATCTTAAGAAAACGTTGCTAGGGATACTAAACCATCTTCTGACAGTGAAAAATAACACGGGGATTAAAATAATTCGAAGTTAATAGTACAAATTTGTTGAGTAAAGCGTTCTTCGGAGATAACCAATAATAATACTATAAACATCATCTCACCAAGACTCCAGATGTCCTTTGATCCGACTAATTTAGAGATGAATTTGGGTACGGATCTAGGCATACACCAACCACAGAACGATAGGATGTCCACTGATCCACCAACAGAGCTTCCTTTATCTGTACAACCGCAACCGCGGCAACCTATAAAGCAAGAGATGACATTAAACCAAAATATGTCAGGGTCTACTCAGACAACATTTAATAATAAGAGTAACAGCAATAACACATCGTCGAAACCGCCTTCGAATGAGTTCGTACGTAAACTTTACAATATTTTAGAGAGTAATTTGTATCCAGATATTGTTCGTTGGACAGATAATGGTGATTCATTTGTTGTACTTGATACAGGGAAATTTACTACTCAGATTTTACCGAACCATTTTAAACATTCAAATTTTGCTAGTTTTGTGAGACAGCTAAATAAGTATGATTTCCACAAGATCAAGAAGAAACCTAACGAGGAACAACGATCTCAAACTGGTGAGTTAAGTTGGGAATTTAAACATCCTTACTTCAGAATACACGATGTTGCAGGACTCGATCGTATTAAGAGGAAATTATCAAATGCTAAGAAAGCGGCAGCAGCAGCAGCAGCAGGCACAACGGCTGTCTCTCCAGGTGGTACGCCAATTCTTAATGGCTCAGCTGCATCACACATAAATATTCATCGTAATGGTCGCCATGGCCTTGGATCTCACGCTCCAACCCGCCACGAGATCCTAAGTGCTGGTTTGAACCAGTTAGGAATCACAAAGGAACAATTCTTAAGTCATACTGTCTCAAAGGAAACCTATACTACATTAAGGAAACGTGTTGAAAACTTGGAAAAACAGCTAGAAATATCTAAGAATGAAATATTTATCGGTAAAGTTGAAAATCAGAAGTTAAATTCAAAATATAATACCGTTGTAGAAAGTTTAATTACTTTTAAGACAGTAAATGAAAACTTAATCAACAATTTTAATATATTGTGTTCGACACTGTCTCAAAATGGTATTAAATTACCCAATGGTCTGTATGAACAAACAAATATTTCATCCAACGATAGAAAATCTATTTCAGATAATAATAATAATAATAATAATAATAATAATAATAATAATAACAATAACATAATGAAAAATGAAATACAGTTGTTAGAGACACCTAATGGCATGACTAGCCCCGATCAAAATAGGATGCTGTCATCGAATATATTGGCCAACACAAATAACTTATTGAACAATCAAATGGATGGCCTTGTTGGTACACCGTTGATGAAGGAAACAAGAAAGGATATACAAAATACTGTGCTAAGGAAAGGGTTCCATGTGCTGTTAGTTGAAGATGATACAATCTCCATTCAATTATGCTCTAAATTTTTACGTAAATATGGCTGTACCGTACAAGTGGTGACCGACGGGCTTTCTGCGATTTCAACTTTAGAGAAAACTAGATTTGACCTTGTCTTAATGGATATAGTTATGCCGAACTTAGATGGTGCCACAGCAACGTCAATCATCAGAAATTTTGATAACCAAACACCTATCATCGCTATGACAGGGAATATTGACGACCAGGATTTAATAACATATTTACAACATGGTATGAATGATATTCTAGCTAAACCGTTTACTAGGGATGATTTGCATACAATGCTAGTACGATATCTAAGAAATCGAGAACCATTGAGTGAGCAACAGCGGATACAGTCTCAACCGTCACAACAACAACAACAACAACAACAACAACAACAACAACAACAACTATCTCAAAATGTGACTCCCGGTAGTAACAATACACAGTCTCCCATGAATCAGCCACAAATGAGTCAAATGGCAATGCAACCACCCCAGCAAAATGTTCAACAAAGTGGATCAGGTCATCATACACCCGGACTGGTCCATGAGCCAAATCCTGGCTTACCTACATTGAACATGGGCAGCGATCTGAGTGTATCCATGGCGCAGCCAGCGCATGTGTTATTATCTGATCCAAATTTCTTAGAAGATGAGCATACAGATAAAAAGCCACGCTTATAATAATAATAAATTCTGATATGAATATGTCACATAAGATGTATATGTGTAGGCAGACTGAGAAAGGAGATAAATTTATAAGGTCATAGTTATGTATATGTTCTAACACAATATTAATTTTTCATTTTATTACTATTAACTATTAAATAAAAAATTTAAATAATTTACTCTTCCTCCACAGCCATGGAGACAGTTCCATCGAATCTTACCGATGTACGACGTCTATTTGGGAAACCTGGATTCTCTGGAATATCAAGATCGAATTCTTGACCATTTTTCAACAATTGAGTCAAATCTGGTCTTTTACTTCTCATTGAGGATTTTCTTCTGGAAGAGGTCGTTGGGGAAGATGACACCATTGGAGATTCTATCGGATGAACTATTGTCGGTATCTCTACCGTTTGTGATAGCTCAACTTGGCAACGGTGACACTCACATCTGAAACCATATTTTTGTCGTAGTTCTCTTTGCCTTAGTTCAACGTCATGTAATGGGTTGATATAAGTAATGAACAATTCATCTCCCGAGGAAATAGTAGCTCTAGCAAATAATCTCCATTCATTCTTTTCATTTACTTCGAAATGAGCGTTCGGTTCACAACTATGATTTAAAAATGATGCAATAAAATATAATTGTTGAGAGGTTTCGTTAATATCAAACCTACCTGCCAGTTCCATAAAAGCTTGAAAATCTGGAACAAGTTCAGTATTAGGGAAAACAGCTTGAAATAAATCAAAACATCGAGTCCATTTATCCATCTCTCCTATTTGTAATCTATGGCATTGAGAGACTGTCGCAAGAGAATCCCATTGCTTTTGTAATCTGGACTCTTTATTGACTAAGATTGTAGCTAGAATGATCGCTACTGAACGAGCCGCTACCATATCATTATCATGACAATAGTTTTCAAATACTGACCACTCTTTATAGTGAATGTTATTACCAAGTTTATGTTTACCATGATGTAAAGTTGCATGTACACGTTGGTCCTTGGTCTTACATCGTTTGCTGCACCATACAACATCACAATCGGGACAATCAAGCCCATGTGTCATGATAAAATGAGGACTAATATTACTACCGGAGAGGGACTTACCACAAAATCCACAACATTTTCCTCGTTGAGCAAGAGTAAGCTTATCCAGTGGTGGAATCCAACACATTGATTCTGTTTCAACTGCAAGAAGCTCCCCAAGTTTATAATCCTTTGATGCAATAACTTTTCGTATACCACCTTCTTGTACTACTCGTATACCATCTTGTGAACTATTTTTCAATGATTCATCGAACTGTGGGAATTGCACCTCATCGCAATACAGACCTGTATTTTCCAGTTCATCATCTTCTTCTGTGATTACCTCTGGTAGGTCAGTTTGCCCAGCATCATTTAATGCCAATCTTTCAATTCTCAAATGCATCCTTTTTGGACCACAACGTTAGGTTATCTGAATCAAAATCGTTATATTTCTGTTTTCATCAAATCTCTTGAATTTCTTTCTTTTTAATATCAAGAAATTTCACGGAGCCTTTAAAATGGAGGAATTTTAAAATGAAGAACTTGAGATGCATAGTTTAGGGGGAGGGGGATTTGAAAGGAGAAGAATATAAATACATATTTGAAGGATAAGACGAAAGAATAACGAGATATCAGTTACCAGAATGAGTGGAGTGATAACAAGACAAAGTATTAAAGCAGTGGGGAATGGGTTGACAAGGAGATGGATGGCCACCCGATATATGAGCAATGGACCAAGGTTTATAACTGGAGGTCCACGTAAAGGGAAATGGATCCCTTGGACAATCTTTGGTGTAAGTTTTGCCACTGGATGGTTTTTCACCCAACATATGACTTTTACGGATGTCCTGGCTTGGTGGAGGTACGATTCTTTACCTAAGGATAGTACAGAGGTGAAGGATTACGAAGCTCAATTGACAGCAAGGGCAGAACAATTACCTGTAGTGAAACAATTACTAGCAAAGGGATTTGTTGAAGTATTTCCAGCATCAAAGAATACCTCAGGAAAACAAGTCACTAGTGGGCTAGTTACGCAAGCTTTAAGAAGTCCCGGTGCCATAGCTATTGAACCTAAATTTTACTACAACCCTCAAACTCGTGATACGGTTGGACTATATCACCTTGGGATGAAATTAACTGGCTACCCATTCATTGTACATGGGGGTATGTTGGCTACTGTAATGGAAGATCTGATGCGCCAAGCCATGTTAGTTCGCGGGGGTAACAGTGACATGGCCAATTGTGAAAAGACAAGAGACCTAAATGTATCCTATAAGTTCCCAACATTTGCTAATCAATTTGTTGTTGTGAGGACTACTGCAGTGGAACAATTTGGCCAAGGAACTAAGATGCGTTGTGAAGTATTAGACCAAACTGGTAATAATACTCTAGTAACTGGTGGTGCAGTATTTACCAAACCCTAGGCGAAACACAAATATAGAATGCAAAATACTATGCCTGTAAATAAAAGCCTATCACAATATTTTAATTTTTTAAATCTATTTATTTAATATATATATATATATATAAAACTATATTATTCATTAGTAATTATATTGCTCTCATTGCAGAATGAGTAATTTTGAAATCTTGAATTATTAAAATTGCTACAAAATGTGAAATAATCCTACGGGTCGATTGTGTATTTTAATTATTACTTTTTATTGACAATCATCATTAGCTAAAACAGGTCACTCACCATTAGCAACTAATCCAATCACAAATCATGATACAATGATATTCGGCATTAATATTTACATATATATTGAAGTTATGTTATATTCTATCACTGTGTGAATCCAGATATCTCCGAAAAATAGAATAAAGGGACTTAACAATTAATGTCACCATCAACAACTACAACGTCAGGTAAGTGATAGTGCAATGACTCTAAAAATGTACTGTTGAGCCATCACCTACAACAAGACAATCCATCTGTTGATCATGAGGCTCACATTGAATTTTTTGAGTAATTTGTTCTTTCAGACAGATTCCTACAAGATAAGGTAAATGATCATGCTGTAGTAAATACCTTTGAAAGAAATCATCGTAATAACCAGCACCCCATCCGATCCTTGCACCTGTATCAGGAGCAAAACCAACCCCTGGTACCACCATCAAATCCATCTGTGGTGGCATTAATAATTTTGATTGGGTAATATGAGGCATTGGTGGTTCACGTAACTTGTATTTTCCTTCAGGTTTCATAGCTGTTACATCGGACCAGCTGGGAACCTGTAAAAACACTAAATGTGGATGATCAGGTCTATTTGATCTTAAACTGACTTGTCCTGTATTACCTGTCGTGGTACATCTAGGTAAAAACACTCGAGAGATGGTATCAGTACAACCAAACATCCATTTCAAAAGATCTAAAGTCTGTACTTCGGCCTGATAGTCCATCCCCATATAACATCCGATGCTCAGTGGTCGACCTAAATCTTTGCTCTTCTGAAGAACCAATTGTTCCAACGTTTCAGTTACCACCTTCGATTGCCTGGCAACCTCATCGTTAGGCACAAGATCCAGTAACTTCCGCAAGCTCTTCCTCAACAACTGTTTCGACATTTACACACGTCAATGCGTTACCTTCCACTACTGCTGAGTCATCACATCTCAGGCTCCCTTATATTGAACAGTTCTTAATTATTATTCTTACTAACGAATCTCTTGAATTTTTTATTTCTATTTGTAATTGCTACAAATTTCTTTTGAAACAGCGTTACCGGCGTTTTATTTAATCTTTTACTGCCTTCGCATTGCGTGGTGACTCACAAAGAATTTGAATTCTCAAAGAGAACTATTTGAAATATAAAAGGAACTAGAAACAACTAGAATCTAGAGGTGAGAATGATGCTTTCCAATTGTTATTGAAGGAACGTGAAAGAACTGATCAAACAGTCTGCGTTTATTATTTATTTTGATCATTGATCTTTTCCCATTTTTAATAGAACTGAACAGATGCTGAAACAAACATTACGCACTGCAACGATGTCTAGATCATTCACTTCTGTTGTCTCGAAAGCTTTCTCTGAAGGTGCTGCCCTTGATGCTTCGAAGTTACAAATTACAAAAAATCCAAATCCTTCTTCCCCATTGCCAAATGATCAATTAAAGTTTGGTCAAACTTTCACTGACCATATGCTGACTATTGAATGGAACAAAGGTAAGGGATGGAGTGCTCCGGAGATCAAACCATATGGTCCTTTAGTATTGGACCCATCTGCTTGTGTTTTCCATTATGCTTTTGAATTGTTCGAAGGTCTAAAGGCTTACAGAGCTGCCGATAATAAGATTACTATGTTCCGTCCAGATATGAATATGATTCGTATGAATAAATCTGCTGCTAGAATCTGTTTACCTACTTTTGATTCCGAACAATTGATAACTTTGATTGGAAAATTAATCGAACAAGATAAGAACTTGGTTCCAGAAGGTCAAGGTTACTCTTTATACATTAGACCAACCATGATTGGTACCACTGCTGGTTTAGGTGTTTCTACTCCAGATAAGGCTCTACTATATGTTATCTGTTCACCAGTAGGACCATACTACAAGACCGGTTTCAAAGCCGTTAGACTCGAAGCTACAGATTATGCTACCAGAGCTTGGCCAGGTGGTGTTGGTGACAAGAAATTGGGTGCTAACTATGCTCCATGTATCCTACCTCAATTAGATGCTGCTACCAGAGGTTACCAACAAAACTTGTGGTTATTTGGTCCAGAGAAGAATATTACTGAAGTCGGTACCATGAATGTATTCTTTGCCTTTAGAGATTCCAAGACTGGTAAAAAAGAGTTGGTCACTGCTCCTTTGGATGGTACTATCCTAGAGGGTGTCACTAGAGACTCTGTTCTTGCTTTAGCACGTGAAAACTTAGACCCTAAGGAATGGGATGTCAATGAACGTTACTACACCATCACTGAAGTTGAAGAAAGAGCCCAAAAGGGTGAACTATTAGAAGCTTTTGGTTCTGGTACTGCTGCTGTTGTATCTCCAATTAAAGAAATTGGTTGGAATGGTCACGATATTAACGTCCCATTGCTACCAGGTGAACAAAGTGGTCCATTGACTAAACAAGTTGCTCAATGGATTGCTGATATTCAATACGGTAGAGCACCACATGGTAACTGGTCCAAGGTCGTTGCCGACTTGAACTAAAGTATATAAACATTCTAATCTCCTGCACCACATTCATTTCTGCACACACACATCTATATATAGATGAATATATCAATATATATACATATATATATATAAATACACTAGTCACATCTATATGGTTTATATTTATTTCAAAAAAAACAACATTTAACATTTTTATTGTATGGAGGTAGAGAGAGAAAAAAAATTCTTGGTTAACTAATCAGTTGATAAAAAGAATGTTGAACAAACAACTGCATAAGTAATAAAGAAAGAAATACATCATAGAGTCGTCCAAACACGATCATCTATCTGATCAATCATCAAATGCCTAACAAGTTTAGGAGGTCTAGAAATGGGTGCCAGAATTGTAAGACAGATAAAGTGAAATGTGATGAAGGGAAACCCAGTTGTGGTCGTTGTATGAAAAAGGCAACACCTTGCAACTATACGGTACAGTTACGATGGTCTATATCAAATGCTAAGATCCAGAAACGCCCAAAACAAAGAAATAGCAAATCTATCAAAGGTCCTTTAATACACGAAGTAGCTTCTCAGGACCTCGTAATAAGTAAAGGAATAAACACTGCCACCGATATAGAGCAGATAACTCCTGTTAGTACAGTAAATGATGACATGTTTCAATCCTTTTTATCAATGTTTAATACACCTGGGAACTATAATATTTCGCCTTTTGATTTAATTCCTCAAAATCTAGTGCTGCCCTCAGCGTCAGTATTATCGAACATTCATATTGGATCTTTAAATTTACCGTTACCTTTGCCTCGGTTATTGACTGAATCGCCATATAATATGGATCTCTTCGAATTTTATATAAAAGAGACCAGTAGTCTGTTGACACCAACTCAAGAATCTCCATTTTTCAAGAATCCATTTAAATTTCTAATCTCTCAAATGGCTGTTCAATCAGATACCTTAATGAACATTCTATTAGCATTTAGTGCTAATCATAAAAAACAGATAACTAACCAAATAGAAGAACTAAATGATACCGGAGAGGTTAGTAATGTAATTACAAAGGGAGATTCTGATATTCCGCCATCTATACAAAACATTCTATCACCTTTACACACATCGAGGGATCCTTTAAACAACAAGACGTTGATCAATGATCTTCTTTCTAAGACAATAACTGACCTGATGGGACAGTTGAGAAGTGTGTCGGATCGGACAAGTGATACAACATTAGCTACTGTACTGATGCTAACCTTATTTGATATTTTCTTTGGCGATAAAAGAAGGTCATGGAGAGAACACCTTGAAGGTGCAAGAAATTTGTTTGCAGAGAGACTAAAAAAATCAAATATCGAAGGAATAGACGACCTTACAATCATTTTACCGTTTGATACACAAGTATCGACAAATTTTTTGTTTTGGTGGTTCTCATATGTTGATATCGTTGCTTCATTGTCATCCGTGAGTCCATTTTCTTCTTCAAAACAAACCCCTTTACCATCAGACTCTCCAAATCCGATGAATAGTCCAATATTTAATTATCGTTTCCCAAATTTTTGTAAAACTCAAACTGATCTGGACTATCTAAGTGAAAAGAGAGCCAATTTGGATGACATAGAACGTGGTATAGGTGTTGACCCGAAAATTTTATCACTAATGGGAGACATATCCGTTTTAATATATTTTCATGACGACTTCGATACTAGTAGCCCCGACCAGGAAACATTGATCAGAGCTCTTGAACTTGATCATGATTTACAAGAATATGTGAAAATCTCTGAGAATGAACGCGATCAAGTAATGAATAAGCTTAAACACAACGGTCCTGATTTAACATCCGACAAACTCGAAGCATATAAGATTTTAAGGGCTACAAATATAGTATTTGCGTTTAGTGGACTATTACAACTGAAGAGAAGGATACTACGGATCCCATTATCGAGCACTATCGTTAAAGATATCCTTAAGAAAATTACAAATTTAATTGATCGTTATATTCCAGTTCAGTCCTCAACCACTTCCTGTATCATATTCTGTCTCTTCTGTTGTGGCTGCGATTTAATAGACCCAGAAATGGAACAATATCGACACATCTATTTGGAGAGAATAGACCAGCTGACTAAGAAAGGGGTAAGTAGTGTTTTAGTAGCCAAATCCATCATGTTGGAATGCTGGCGTGATAAGAAAAATTGGTGGGATATCCTTTTGGAGAAAGATCTAGACTTGACATTTGCAATTTAATACATTTATATAATTTCATACGTACATGCATATATGCAATGAACTAATATTCAAAAAGAAAAAAGAAAAAACATAAAAACAACATACCATTCAAGATTACAAATCAACCTACTCGTTATCAAAATTTTGCCAAATTGCATGGTATACTTCCGGGAATATGTCAAGGCTCAAAAAATCATCTAAATTTATCAACGAAAGCAAATCATCCTGCGACATATTGGATGAGATACTACTATGGTCAGTACCTGTTATATCTTCATTAGTCACCGGTTTCTTGAAGTTTGCGAAAAATTGAGTACCCGTAGCTTTGTTGACGAGTTCTAGTACTGATCTATGCATGTGGCTAACTTCAATATCATGTAAGAGTGGTTCGAAGCATCTTGACGAAGTATCTAGTAGATCACAGTACATATTATAAGCAACTTCACTTTTCGTTTTTAATTGATTTGCTAACTCTTCAACTGATAGATTAGCTGCAAATAAACAAGTTTGCAAATAAATCCTGACAAGAATAAATGAAAACAAAATAGTAACTGTAGGTTGTTGCTCATATATATAAGATGTTTGCTCATCAAATAGTTTACCGTGTTCATCGCTAGGGGTATAGTGCCCCAAAAATGAACATAATAAAGAAGCATTGAGAACCACATCCTCAACAGGACTATCAATCGCACATATAACAATTCGAATTATAAAAAATGTAGCCATTTTACACATTCTAATGTGGTAATATTTTTCTTTAACAATAAGTAATTTCTGTAACGCCTTTTGACTTGCGTTTACACTAATTGATCTTAGAGACATTTGTGCATCGTGTAATTTATCCTTGGCTGTTACCTTCTCAGTACCCATGAGACGTATAAGAACATTTCCGACAGAAGATGATGCTTCTGCAGTACAAAAGTAGAAGATTGAAAAAAAATCCAAATCGGATCCAGGCCCCTTCAAATTATCAAAAAAAGGTTCAAGTTTCGCCTCTAGTGATTTGAAATAGCCACTTAGTAACCCAGTATTTTCCAAAAGTTCAGCAGCAATTTGATCAAGATTCTGGAAATTAGCAGAAAATATTCTGTAACTGGAGAATTTATTATTGTAAAGGATTTCATCAAAACAGTACTGAAGAATTTTGGACAGTATGTAATAAGATATATCAATTAAGATACCGTCTTTGTATGCTTTTTTAAAATCTGCTGATTTAATGAGCATTTTCGGATCCATTTTATCATCAATACCACACTCCAAATAAGATCTTGGAAGGAGACATTCCATTTGATGTTCTTGTATTAAAGTCGGCTTCCCAGTCATAAGGGAACTCCATTTATCCCACCAATATAATTTCCACCAAAGTTTTCTTTTAAGATCAGCCTTCTCTTCTGAGAGACCTATGTAGTATTCCCATCTATTGTAACCGCTATCTATACCTCTACCAATTATTGCACAAACAAACCTTCGTAGAGTAACATATTCCTCCTTCCAAAAAAACTCATCTAAGAACCAAAGAGTGCATTCTGTGACTGCGTTGTCGTAAATTACCGTATAAGTGCATCTCTCAAAATACTCAAGAAACACCAAGTGCATATACTCTTCCGCCAAAAAGAATTGTTTCTTCAGTAAAGGGGTAAACTCTACATCAGGTGAAGAGAAAAATGTTTTATGCTTCTTCATCAACTCTACGATTCTATTTAATACAATCTCTGGGGGTAATTTTTTGATGTCACTGAAATTAATATTTTTATCATTGATGATATTCTGTACATCACTCAATATGTCAATTACAACATCTGCATCCGAAATATCCTTTGGTAGGTTAGATTTATAGTATTTTTTACACCATTGTAAAGGCGCTGCCGATTGCTTCATATTTTTAGTGAACCATAAAGAACTTAGGTCAAAAAATTTCAAGTATAAGTAAAAAGTCTTTTTGGTCTCTTCTTGATCTAGTGTCGAACTAAACATTTTTTTAAATAACCAGCCAAATCCACCATTCGAAAATAATGTTAGAGCAGAGTACAACCCGAAATATATGCTAATATTAGAATGATCCAGATTTTCAGAACACTCACTCATATACAATTTTTCATAATAATTAAACATGACATAATCTGTTTCTACAAGTGAGGTTTCCAAAGACACTTTCTGATTGTAACTTTCTGTGGCTTTCCTTGAGAGTGTTAATCTCAAATCATCTCTAAATTTATCTAATTTAGAATCCAATTGAGTTAGAAGTGGTTGTAATTGCATTGAATCTACAGCAGATAAATTCTCAAGACCTTTTCTATAATGAGATAATGAACCTAATTCTTTTCTAATATCATCTTCTTGTTTATATAGTGATACATGTTCAGCAACTTTTTTCTTTTCATAGGAACATAACAAACCTGAAATTTTACAATTTTGACAGGGTTGAGCTCCATCACACTTAACTTTCCTTCTTCGACATACTGCACACGCTTTATTAACCCTACGTCTTGTGGTAGTGTTGCCATTATTATTCTTCTTAATTTTTCCCTCAATTTTCTCAATCTTTGACATAATGGTCAATTATTATGTAATACTGCTTAATCACAACAGTTTATCTTGATTGCTAAATAATAAACCAACTCTTTTACCCTCTCATGAACTGGTTGTTATTCACGTATTTACAAATAATGCTGCAATGGATGCTTCTGTCACGAATATCTCCTACCTTCTTTCTTCTCTTATACGAGGATAATAAAAGTAGATCATTGACGCTTCTTTTTTTTTTATTTCAAATTTCAAGTCTTATTTTTTTGTTTTTCAGTTTCACTGTTATATTTGGTAGGATGCACGAATACATCATCGCATTCCACTTAGAGTGATACATGCGTATAGGAGGAAATGAATATTTATCATTTATAACTGAGCCTCATTACGAACTAATGAGGTAAGTTTATTTATCTGGCCTCATATTACAAAATACTTAATATGGTACACTTTCTTGGTGTCAAATAGAATATTTGGCAGTTCGATATGCCAATTTTTGCAAGTTTAGGTCAATGTGTATATACATAGTTGAAAAACTAATAGTATCATAAGGATAAATAATTGCTTTGCTTGTGATGTAGATCATTTGCAGTTGAACAGATATCAAAATTCTATCATTGCGCTCAATTTTTTTTGTATGGGTATTTAAGTAGGAGAAACCTTTCGTACTTCTTGATAACGATTCATTCGCTTAGTATTTTCTAAACACCGTATTTTAATCTCATGAGAGTGTATATATATATTCAAACACTTGTTGATACTTAAAATACCGACAACAGAAAAGGATACCTTTTCTCTTTATCCCGATATAAATAGATCTTCTTCTTTTCAATATTTGTCCTACACCATGTAAACAATAACCATTGCAGACCAAAGGATTCAAATCAATGCAACCCTTCCATTTGCTCTTCTTTAATAACTTGACATCGTTTTATATGACAAATTAACCGCGGTAGTTACTATAGAGGCGGTTCGCTTTGCCCGGTGGCGAATTTTATGGTCGGGGTTCGTTATCTTTGATTTAAGCAATAAAAGAAATATATCAAATAATATAAACAAAAACTATAAAAAAGCCAATTTGAAGTTAATAAGAAAAGTTACAAAGAAAGGTAGTATTATATATTGTAATTAATATTTCGTTTATTTTAGATTCTATTAACCTTGGAATTTTGTTTTGTGAAGTGTATCTATACTAGTATTTGTGAGAAAAAAAATGAATGTTACAGAGACGTTGAAAGTATCAAAACCAAAACCTTCCAGAAGAGCAAGACGAACACTTGTTTGCCTTCTATGTAAAAATAAGAAATTGAAATGTGATAAAGGTAGACCTAGTTGCAAGAGGTGTATAGAGTCTAAAAGATTATGTGTTTATGAAAGCGATGGTAAACCTTATGATAATGCAATTAGTCCCGAGGATGAAACTATTAAATCAAAAAATATAATTCGTGATAAGTCTTCAATATCTTTCATGACGGCTAATAGTACCAACAGTTCTCCAGCAGAGGGGAATCAAAAAATTGCAACGGGTAATATAACACCTTCTGATTATAGAAAACCTTCATATATTTCACACGAAAATGATGGTATTGTTACTCAACCAATCATTACACCAAATTCTTCTGCCCCATCAGGATTAGATTCTGATATAACTTCTGATATATATAATTTGAAAAATAGCAACTGGAGTGGCAGTAGTAATAGAGAGAGTCATACCACGGCAAATACTGGCGCAACAACAGTGTCTCCCAGAGATGCTCTATCCGACCATAAAGGAGTCTCAGCTGGATTAATACAAACACCTTCTGATTTAAAGATGAAACCAGAAAGAATTACTACTGTACCAAATATTATGATGGATCTTTGGAATCCAAGAGATATCCTAGTATCATATGGATCCACTACATATTACGATTTACCTTATGGGACCCACAGTGTTGCTCAATCAGACCCATATTTGAGAGCTCTATGTGCTTGTCTACATGGGGATACAATAACCGAATTGAGAGCCAGACTTACTTCAATCTCATCTAATACGCCTGGTTTAAGTAGAAATATCGCGGTTAATATTCAATCACCTCAAAGTGATACATCTATTTTACTAGATAACAATCACTATAAATTAAAGGATAATTCAGATGGCCCTGAAAGAGAATTACACCCGTTGAAGTTTATCGAAAAAGCCATTGTCAAATGGATCGAGAATTCAAATGCTCAAGTTTCAAACCAGTTACCTCTAGATTATTTTAATACAACATATACTATCGATGATAGCATGGATCCCAATCTATTGTCGTCTTTACAAACTTTAGTACGAGAAATTGAATTGATTTTAATGGATAAGCCTGTAATCGATGCGTTATTAAGAAAATTTTATGAAGAAATATATCCATTTTATCCCCTGTTTGATATTCGAAGTTTTGAAACTAATTTAATATACATACTAATGAATTCCAATGGAAAAAGATATGAATTCAACGTTTATAATAATAACATTAGAAAAAAGTTGGAGATGCTTGTATTGTTTTTACTTATTTTGGCAATTACTTTGAGAAGTCCAAATTTGGATGATGAACAATACCGTATAGATAAAAATAATGCAGACAATTCTGCAAGACAATTATTAATATATGCTCAGAAATTATTATCTTTGCTTAATGGATTCAAATTTACAAACGAAAATATTATATGTTGTTTATTATACCTTTTCATTGCATCATTATTGAACCCAGAAAATAGGGATGTTGATGTAACACATGACAGAATTCTGACATTGAAATGTATAGAAAATTTATCGATGACAATTGGACTTTTCAACGATCCTTCGTTGTATCCAAGATACATGAATGATCCTTCTAAAAATGAATCATTTCATGTTTTCAGACGGAAACTGTGGATTGGACTTCAATCAATGAAGTTAGAAATTCTTACCTCTAATGGTGGGGCAAACTGTTTGGATGTTCAATATTTAAATACATTTTTGGGATCAACTCCAGATTTGATATCAAATTTAAGTTCTAGATTAGAGACATCCTCCGAAGTTGACAGAAGAATATTTTCTATTCAAGAGGATAAATACCATTTCCATATTTTATTATCTCGTTTGATGACATCTTGTACTACAATTGGGCAACAACAAAATTTACAAGAGATTCTTGATAACATAAAAGTCGTGTTAGATTTTATGCACCAAAGATTTCCATTGCCAAGATTAAACAAGAAGGCAGATTTTAAAAATATCATAGTGGAACCAAGTTGGAGGGGTGCAAGAGTTGATGTTGGTAGTTTAGAGGCTATTGAAATCTTCCACGTCAATATCCTTGGTCTATCGAGTGTTATGAGTATTTATAACAAATTAATATTCCATTTCGAAAAAGAATGCATCAATAGTTCCGAAAAATACGAGAGATACTATCACAAATTCTTCTTAGAGGCTATTAACATCTATTTACAATTGGCTAACTTAGTAACTGATTTCTTAAAAGAGAAATATGATCATATTATGTCCAACAATCAAAAATATTCGATAAATAAATATATTGTTTTTGCATTAGTTAGAATGTGGTTGGTTGAAATGTCTTATGCAGCAAGATTCTCATATAAAAAGGAAATGTTAAAACAACAGCGATTGGCTAACTCCAATGATTTTTTCAACGAACAAAGTGATGAGGATATCCAATTGAATACAATTCTTGTATTTAACATGTCGCATATTAAACAACAAATGGAAGCTACAGTGAACCTTGCAGTTGAAAAGTTACAGGATCCTTATTTTGGCTGTTATCAAGCAACATTGATGGTGAGATACCTTCTATATGTTATGAATAATGCTGGCCTTGCCGAGGTTATGAATAACTTTTGGGATAGAGCATTTAATACTACTGAGATTCCTGAATATGTTTTACAAAAATTGAATATGAAATGGGGGTTAAGTACCAAGGGCACAAATTTTGTCGCAAAATACTTAATGAACCCAGAATCCTTACAAAATTTGAACTTACCATTACTGAAACAGATTCAATATATGTTTGATGAAACTACATTTTACAAGCATCCTACACATGAGACATTTGAGATTGATAATTCTCCACCTGGCTTCGATAATGAAGAGATGTTAAACCAATTTTTGGAATCAAACTTTGACTTATTCCTAGGTGTGATAAACGACAATTTGGGCGAACTGCCATCTTTATAAACAGTATATACTGCATTAAGTATAAAACCTTTTAGAAAAATGAATTTTTGTTGATGTCGTAGAAATAGTTTATTTAAATTTGTTTTATCTCTTTTATGATCTGGATCAAATATTGTTATCAGTTGTGATTTTGATTGGAAAAAAGCGCTTTGATAAGAGAAGAGAAATATTGTGCGTAGATAAGATAAATGACCAAAAAGAAGATCAATCAATAATAGATAAAGAAAAGTTAATAACCAATAGTAACCATTCATATCAGAAAGTAACCGTTCAACAGTTACTATATAAGTACGTACTCTCAAATGGAAAGTAATTGAATGCAAAATTATGGTAATCCTGTTCTTGTTTTTGAGTGCCATTGGTGATCCCTTTTTTATTACACTAAGGGTAAGTGCAAACTTCATATAACAATGCTAAAAGTATTTACAAAATCAGAAGAAACTGATTTCATCCATGAAATAGCAAATACTTTTAAAAGTGTTGATATTACTAATGAACAATTAGGAGGAGAAATCGTAGATTTTTCAGATCAATGGTTCGCTGATGCAAGTAACTTGATTAAACCAACCAAACCTATTAGAGATGCCACAAAATTTACTCATAGTGGTGCTTGGTATGATGGATGGGAGACAAGAAGACATAATGAAGGAGAGTATGACTGGGTGATTATCAAAATGGGTATATCATCTGCAAGACTTATAGGTGCTGAGATAGACACCAGTTTTTTTAATGGCAATCACGCCCCATTCATCTCGGTGGATGCCTTATATGACGAGAATCCTGACCTAAATGAATCAGTCATCAAGGAAAATGACCAAAGATGGAGTGAAGTAATAGAAAAGTTTGAATGCGGACCATCACAAAGACATTTTATTTTGAGAGAGAATGGCCTTACTGATGATAAGTTCAATTATATTAAATTGAAAATGTACCCAGATGGTGGTATTGCAAGGTTTAAAATGTATGGTAAGATTTGTCACCCACATGTCGCAGCTAATGATATTACAGATTTAGCATTTATAGGTCACGGTGGTGTAGTGACTGCTTACTCAGATCAACATTTTGGTACTGCAAACAACCTGATTTTACCAGGAAGAGGCCATGACATGTCAGATGGATGGGAAACTAAAAGATCAAGGTCTGTTGGGCATACTGACTGGACCATAATCGAGTTATGCCAGATTTCTACATATATTGATAAGATTATTGTTGATACAGCTCATTATAGAGGAAATTTTCCACAGTATATAACTGTCCATGCCATGTTGCATCAAAATGACCAGGATATCGATCCATCTTCAAAAAATTGGATAGAACTAGTCCCAAAATCTAAAACTGGTCCCGACAAAGAACATAGTTTCACGGTGAGCAAAAATATGAGGGTCAGTCATGTAAAATTCACAATTATTCCGGATGGTGGTGTCAAAAGATTAAGAGTGTGGGGTTACTGAACTTACATAGTGAAAATAAGTATTTTTTTATATAATATAAAATTATATCCGAAGGTATTAACTCTAACTCAACAAAATACAGAATAGTTAGATTGAATAGTTCAACCCCGATATCTATGCAAAGAATATATGTATATTTTTTTATTTTTATATTTAGTTTACTGTAATTAATTAACTATCGATAATAATGATATTATTATAAACTATAAAGTGTATCTAAAGTTGGGATTTTCAAAATCAGTACAGTCTGCAAATTCTAAGTTTTGTAAATTTTCTGGACCACCCCTTTCAGCTTGTATTTTATCTCTTCTCTTATTTTCTCTAATATTTATAAAGAGTAAAATGGACAATATGACAATCATACAGGCGTAACAAACAACCATGGCAATCTTTGCACCTTGGTAATCAGGAGCTTGCTTAGCAATAAATGTTTGTGGACCAGCTAAATTTGCAGCAGCATATGCCACCAAATTAATAGATGAGACTGTCCATTTCTTGGTATAACCAGATGAATTGGCACTAATATTTGAAAGGACACAGATAAATGATACTGGAGAAATATACCAAAGATATGCACCTCCTAGTCTGGCACCTTTTGATTTGTGGGCAAAACCTAACATACAACTTGCAATAAGAGCCAAAACAGCAGCAAAAATAGCCCAAGTAAGTCTGTTCTGCCAAAAAGGAATCTTTTTACGAGCTGCATATACCGCAAGTATACCAAATAATGGACAACCGACAATTTCTACAGCACCTGTTGGGATACCCATCAATAAAGTATCTTTAGTACTGTAACCAAAATCGGTGTTGAATAATATTGATATAAAATTTGAAATACCACCGTTTGGAATATTTGAAGAGACAGTAAACGCAAAATATAGCCAAGTTCTCACATCCTTTAAGGCTTCAACTATTTGGTATTTTTTAATTTCACGATTACCAAAACCTTGTTGATTAGATCTAATTCTTTGAACAACCATCAATTTTTCATGTCTGGAGAGGAAACGAGCGTTTGATGGATCGTCAGGTATCCACAAGAATATTAAAAATCCAAGGAATATAGTGATGACACCTGTAACAACGAACAGCAATCTCCAAGCTTCGATATGATATGAATCCTTGTGAATATAAATACCATATGCCATGGAATTTAGGATAATAGAACCCAGACCGTTCATACCAAACCAAATAGAAATTCTGGTAAATTGTTCACTTGTTTTCCAATATTGAGCTGTAATGATTGTGAAACAAGGTGTCACAACACTCTCTGCACATCCTAAAAGTACTCTTAAAGCAATAAATGAGGCATAATTTACACTTGGTGCAGCATGGCATGTAAGAATTATCCCCCATATCATGATGAATACAGCAAGGACTTTGGACATATATTTTGTCTTTTGAAAAATTAGTTGAACTGGTCCCAAGTTCATAAATAGGTAACCGAAATAGAAAGCAGAACCGACCCAAGAGTATTGGTTACCCTTCATTTTTAAATCCGTTCTTAAACCCATAACCGCTGCAGAACCTGTAGCGATCTTATCCATAAATTGGACCGCATAAATAAGACACATAAGTGGAAACATGCACATATCGATTTTCCAGCATAATTTTCTGTCTTCTTCTGGTGTAACTACAATACCTTCAGCTTCCCTGGCAAATTGAAGGGCTTCGTCTGCATGAGCCATATCAACTATTATCTTCTCCCCATTAGGAGAGATGACCATACTTAAGATGGGTTCAATCTCAACATCATCAGCGATATGATTCACTGTATCCTGTTGAACTTTCTTTTCATCAATGTAGTCGTTTTCGTCACCTGATACTTTTAATGATGATACTTCTGTCATAGAGGTGGAATATTAGTTATAAAGTAACTTTTTATTTTTGCTAATGGAGTTTTTATACAAGTAGATTCTAAAACAAATGACCCTAAGGGAAAAAAATTAAAGAATTATTAAATACAAAATAACAACATTGGTGTGATTGTATGCTTCCTTATATATATATATATATTTGTGTCTGAATACCTGAAAATATCTATAACTAAGATAATAAATTTCTTTTTATGACGATTATCATAAAAAGTAGATATGAATCTATCTAAAACTTCAGTTGATTTGAATGTAAGTGAAGCATACTATACAAATAATCATCCACACAAAATCAATCTACTACTCTTCGCTTTATTATTACTTTGAATTTATTTTACTATGACTCTAATTTCAGAGAATTAAATTGATGCTTGGAAGAACGGAATTACAGAATAAATATAATGCGATCTTAGCAAAAATGAACAGCAAATCGACCTGATTTAAAATTTAGATTATCAGAACTTTGGCCAAACAATAAAAACAACAACAACAGGTGATATCTTCATGAAAAACACATTAAACCAAATTGTTATCTTTCTTTTATCGATAAATAGTCTTCTAATTGACCTGGATGACAGTATACCGCCTTTTCTATTGTTGTAAATAACATAACGCGGTTGTTGTAGAGAAAATTACGTACAAAAAACGATAAGAGTCCACTGAAAAGAACGATAACAATAGCTGATAAAGAATAAATGAGGACCGTCAAGCAACCATATCTATATCGTGATGAAATACAAAGGGAAACAACATACTGTTGATACATATTTTGAGGGTCTGGCTAGGTAAAAATAAAATTTTCAACTAATGGTGTATGACAGTGATAATGGCGGACCACATAGGTTATACTGTAATGCACTGTGTCTGTAAGAAATTTTTTTGTTCCAGTTTTGAAATTGAATGTTTCTATATTCCGTAGTATGTTATTTAGATAATTTAATCATTTTTCGGGACATGCAACGAACTGATTTGATTACTATTAAATGTTATATTCTCCTTTTTAGATATGATTAGAATGCGTTCTTGCCTTCTTTTAAAATCTTTCACATATATAAATCAATCCATAAAATGAATCGTTCTATTGTGCATTGATAAAGATTGTCCGGACTTTTCTGATAATTTTTAATTTCCAATTATTTTACTTTCTCTAGTATTTGGGTATCTTTAAGGGTTAGTAAAATCGGACTATCGGATTAGTTATGTACATAACTGCAGAATACATCTCTACTACTCTATTTAGTCCCTATGGTTCCATTATATCACCGGATGAAGAAGTAGAACGGCTAGCCACAAAGAGGGGATACGTAGAAAATAATGCTAACCAAGGTACTGCCATAAAAATATCATCGGTTTCAACAATTCAGAATATTTCAACATCTCATGTCCCAAATATTAACATATTTCGTTGTTTCGTGAAAGAAACAATACCTAAAACTGAAGGATTTTCCGTAGTCGTACCAGTCTTAGAAAAACATCCAAACACTTCTCAAACTTTTATTCCTATAGGATCGTGCAGAAATGATGTTTCGCACGTTGTTGTTGTCGCATTGCCAGACCCTCATAACAATGATGAGCCTGATTTATGCACCCTTAGAGCCTTTTTATGTAAAGGAAACCAAGGTGTAACCTATGGAGTTGGTGTTTGGCATGCCCCTATGATAACATTAGCAATGACATCAGATACGAAATTCGTTGACTTTGCAGTTGTAATTTATGAAGTGCAAGATAAGGACCATCCAGAATTAAACTGTATAGAACGTTACTATAGGGATCCTCCTCAAATTGTTATCAATAAAGTTGGTGAAGATTACTGATGAGAGGTAAAATAAAATATAACAACACTGTAGCAACTCTGAATTTTATTATGCACTAATTAGATACTTAGTATTGAAATCTTTATCATTCTTAAAAAAATAATAACAGGCCACAAGAGCACTTACAGAATGTGCCTATACAAGATATATATCTACCACTTTTTGTATGTAGCTAAATGACGGTAATAGTATATATTTAACATCGGTGATTTGCTCTCTGATGATAATTAATGTGTACGTACGCTTAACACCACTAACTTATGATGAGTATTTGTGTATTGACTAATATTGGCAAGTTGCCCATAATAGAGCTACTTATAATATATTGAACCTTCCCAATACATACCAAGCACCACTCATAGTTGTTTATGTTATAATTAATGTTCAAAATATTTCACAACAATTTTCTCCTATAACCCCAAATATTAAGTTGTGTGTATGCTAATCTATTCTTGCACAAAATGACAGACACTTGGCGCGAAATATTCACTTTATTTAGGTAACAATTTGCTTTTCATGTGCGAACTTTCCCTGATAACTGCAATTTTGAATTTACGCAGAGCGCGCCTTCGACCAACCAAAAAAGAGTTGATAAACAATCTAATTAGCAATAGATAAGCGAATTTACATAATTTAGAGTAAATAACGCACTGATAAGCATTGCTATCTATATAATGATCATTTCTTTAATATAGATTTCTTAATTGAAATTTTTAGATCTTTGTAGTTAAGAAAAGAATAACGCTGGTCTACCCACGATTATCGACTAAGTTGCTGTTTTTGCGATGGTTGACTTCATAGATAACGAGGCCTTGTATATGCATAATATCAAAAAATGCATCGATTAATTACATTGAAGCTGAAAACTATCCCGACAGCACTAGAATCTAAACAAAAACTGTATTTGTTCCTCTAGATAGAATGATTATTATTCGAATTAATAATTATATATAAAGCAGCACAAATTTGCCATATTTTGATTAGCATATAACAATAAATAATGATAAAGCCAAGAAATTAAAAACAAATTGTTATTTCTATTCTATAATACCACACCACTGCATTAAATAGTACGATTTATCAAAATGGTTAAAATTTCTTTAGATAATGTCGAAATCTTTGGTAATATTGATGCTGAACCATTATTTTTTCCAGCAAAAACCACCGTTTCTGACATTTTAACCAAGCCTGCATTGGAGTTTATTGTTCTTTTACACAGAACTTTCAATGAGAAACGAAAAGAATTGTTACAAAATAGAGAGCTCCAACAAAGGGGGCTAGATGATGGGACATTTCAGTTTCAGTTTTTACCAGAAACTGAATATATCAGAAATAATCCTACATGGCAAGGCCCAATTTTAGGTCCTGGTTTAATCAACAGATCCACGGAGATCACCGGTCCACCATTACGTAAAATGTTGGTCAATGCTTTAAATGCAGAAGTTACAACGTATATGGTAGATTTTGAGGACTCTTTATCGCCAACTTGGGAAAATATTGTTTATGGACAAGTTAATCTTTATGATGCCATCAGAGACCAGATCGATTATCACACTCCAAGAAAGAATTACCAATTGCGGAAACCATTCGCTACCTCTCCAACTGTTATTGTAAGACCAAGAGGTTGGCACATGGAGGAAAAACATGTTTATGTGGATGGAGAACCTTTTAGCGCAGCTATCTTTGATTTTGGTTTATACTTCTTCCACAATGCCTCAGAATTGATAAAGAAAGGGAAGGGGCCATATTTCTATTTACCAAAAATGGAACATCATTTAGAAGCAAAGCTATGGAACGACATATTCAATGTTGCACAAGACTTGCTAGCTATCCCAAGAGGTACTATTAGAGCAACCGCATTAATTGAAACCTTGCCAGCAGCATTTCAAATGGAGGAAATCATTTACCAATTAAGATCACACTCCAGTGGGTTAAATTGTGGTCGTTGGGATTACATCTTCTCCACTATTAAGAAATTAAGAAATATCCCTGAACACGTTCTACCAAACAGAGATCTAGTTACTATGACGTCCCCATTTATGGATGCTTACGTGAAAAGATTAATTAACACATGTCACCGTAGGGGTGTCCATGCTATGGGTGGGATGGCTGCTCAAATTCCAATCAAGAATGATAATGTAGCAAATACGCTTGCCATGGAAAAAGTCCGCCAGGATAAGATTCGTGAACTAACAAATGGCCATGATGGTTCGTGGGTTGCACACCCTGCCTTAGCTCCTATATGTAATGAAGTCTTTAGCAATATGGGAACTTCTAATCAAATCTATTTTGTGCCTGATGCTAATGTCACCGAGACCAACTTGCTAAATACAAAGTGTGCTGGTGCCACCGTTACGACCGATGGTATTAAAGTTAACTTGGATATCGGTTTACAATACATGGAAGCATGGTTAAGGGGCTCTGGTTGCGTTCCAATTAACAACTTAATGGAAGACGCTGCAACTGCCGAAGTTTCTCGTTGTCAGTTATATCAATGGGTACATCATCATATTACTTTGGAGGATACCAACAAAAAAATCACTCCGGAACTTACAAGTCAGTTGTTAGAGGAGCAAGTTGAAAAGTTAGTAGCCACCAGTCCTTTTGGTAGTAAAAACAAGTTTAAACTTGCTGCAAAGTATTTTTTACCTGAAATTCGAGGCGAAAAGTTCAGTAATTTCTTAACTACTTTGTTATATGATGAGCTGGTACAGAAGAACCCGGACCCCTTCGATTTATCTACTCTGAAATCGTAGTATACATATTGTTTTATATATCTTATCCTATATACCAATAATATCAATAATCCTTATCTTAACTATTGCTGACTGAAGTATTTTCTTATCTATTTAATACATATCATATATAATGTTTGCATTTTGGAAAAAGGTACTTTAGAAATTTTTTTACAATTTGAAACAGTGAGTAACAATATTGCAAGACATGATGTGTTTGTATCCAAAATTATTGGTGGTGAATCCTAACAGCACCGTGGGCATGACCCTTGAAATCCAGGAAAATGTTGCTAGATATTTTAAATTAAAGAAGAAGCAAGATATTCTTTCAAACATCATATTCTATACTGGCCCCTCAGAATCACCAAAACAAATATCCGGTAATGAAACAAGTTTACAAAGTTTAAATGCGTGCTTACCTGAACTAACAAATCCTAAAGGGAAGCATTACTTCAATAATTTCAATGGCATTTTGATTGCTTGTTTTTCGGATCACCCTCTTGTCAATGCTTTAGCAAATCAAGCCAACAGGGAAAATAGTAATACCATTGTGGTCGGGTTGTTAAACACGAGTATTAGTTTTTGTTCACTGTTTCAGACCAAGACATTTTCAGTGTTAACCTCTAATAATGAATGGATGAACATACTGAATGAATCCGTTGAAGGAAAGTACCTAACAAATATCTCCAGAACATTATGGAAAGGAACGGTTCCAACAAATCTCGATGTTCTTGATTTGCACAATCAAAATAATTATGAGGCTATTGTCCGTATTATTAAATTGAAGAATCTGGAAGAATTGAAGTCCAATTTCATCATTCTTGGATGTGCGGGGTTTTCATCAATTTACCCGAAATTAGAACAAACTTTTAAGAATGATTCAACCGTACATTTCATAGAACCAGTCACTCTGGGTATCGAAAATTTGCTGTACCTATATGCTGGTACTCTGTAAACATATATAAAACTGAAATTAATAAATTGAGAATATATATTTAAAATAACTTTTTCTAGAGGTGAAAAATTAACATTATACGATAAGATATGTAAGAACAGTTGTTTACAAGTAAAAATCAACACCTTAATTAATAGATTTTCTTCAGTCCTCTCACTTCGTTTAATATATCTTCTTCGACATGTAACTCTGACTTGCTGACTTCGATCTTCCATTCGTCTTCAAAGTCTTCTACGTATGCCCATGTTTGAAACCATCCTTTGTCCTTCAAGAAGTTTTTAACAGGGACACCCTCAACAGGAAAGAAATAACATAGAACAGAATACACCGTGAAACTAATTCCAAATCCAACGGGGTACCCCAGATAATAAAGATGGACAGCACCAGTTGAAACCTTATATTGTGGTGCTACATCATTAATGAACCCCGGCAAATTTGGTGCTATACCACACAGATATGCAACAAATGCTCTCCAGTTAATTCCATAGCGGTTATTGTACATATAATATGATTCTTTATGGGCCAAAAACAAATGCATCAATTTGATGTACCCTCTTCTAATAAGGAAATAATCCGCACAAATGACACCAGCTATGCTGGATAAGAATATAGCATAAGCACCCAATGCGGTGGTGAATTTGTTGGAAGAGGCCATCAAATTCCATGGACATATACAAAGAGCCATTAAGGCACAGAAAAGAGCTCCTCTTTTTATGTTAATATATCTGGGGAATAGTGAGGTCATATCTGTACCACAGGAAAGTGAGTTGGCAGATATATTTGTACCTAATTGTGCCAGAGCAAAGACGAACGATATTAAAAATACACCAGCCCTAGTGCCTCTGGTAAATGCAGTCTCTAGAAATTGCTGTAATACATCTAATGGTGACCAATAATTAACCCCATAAAGATGATACCCAGCGGCTGTGACTAGTATACCAATTAGACACGTAATAGCAAAAAACAGAGGTATAGCAACTAATTGTGGTAGTAACGATGCATTTGGAGTTGTTGCAAATCTCCCAAAATCAGGAGCATTAATAATTAGTGCTGCGAAGTTTGATATACATGCCATTAAGGCCTTAACAAATATCCAGGAAAAATCAGAACCATGCGGAGCATTATCATTCAATGTACCCAGTGCAATGACTCCATGTGATCTCTTTAAAGTCCATATTAAAAACCCAAATGCTGCAAATGGAATTAATACAGCCTTAACGGTGAACAAGTGTCTTATTTTGTGAGGCGCGATAAGGACAAAAGGAACACTGATTACCCAAAAAATAAAGAAACACATAAATTGATAGGTAGTTGAATTCGGTGAACCAAAATGATCTGGAATTCGTGATGGTAAATCTTTTCCGAATATTGATTGCAACATTAAAGAAATTGGTTGAGCACCTAACCAAGCTTGAACTGAATACCAAACAATTGCAAGGACAATTCTGTTTATAACAGGCCATAAAGAAAAAAAAATACCAAAAGAGGCCCTCACAGTTATTGGGAATGATAGGTGATACGCTGTTCCAAACCTAGAATTTAAAACTACATATAGAGCTGCCCAAGTATAACCAATCCATACCGTTAGCCAACATTGCCACCAATTTAAACCAAGTTGCATCCCCGTCGCAGCAACTTGCCATGTGTTGATATTGAAACAATCCGCTAACCAAAAATACAAATAATTATACCACGACCAAACTCTTCTTTCTTCTTCAACAGGTTTAAGATCACGATTATATAGAAATGATTCTTTTAACGATACATCGAGATTCGTCTTATCTAATATGATATACTCGTAGTATATTTTTTGCCATATTGAAGAATAAACAGGCAACGGGGTGATATTTTCTAGTTCTAAAGAAGAATCTACTTCATCAAAGGAAGTGACAGTTTGAAGTTTTTCACTTTTGGTAGGTTCAATTGTATCATCTATTACATTTGTTTTTGCAGACACAATAGATGTTACAGGCCCGATGTTTCTTCTCGACTTGTTACTAAACACAGCGGAAAATCCGTCGGTAATAGTTGTCATATTTTAAAATATAAATTTTGTTTCAATAAGTGGTAGACACTAATAATGTTATTGTAGTTTATTGTAAGAATGAAAAAAACTACCCATTCTAGGATACGAAAATATACGGCATTTTTTTTTTCAATTTATTTGCGTATTTATATGGTACCTATAAATATTATATTCCAAGCTTTAATAAAACTCATCTTTCTAAGTCACTTACTTCCAACAAATTGGTTACCAGCTTCTTAAATTTTTGATTAGAAACTTTCGATTCCTTTTTGCGTTTTGCAATTTTGCATTTTGGCGAATATGATATCTAGGTGATTTCCCCCAATTATTATGTATGGAGATAAGCTCACAATACTGTAATATCAGATAACAATGCTTTGGCAAGAAATTATATCTATTGGATATGATCAAATGTTATCACAAATCTGGCAGATCTTATGGTCCTGTCTCTACTGCTACAGTAGTAGATTATGTTTTACCTTATCAGCTACTCCTTCGGAAATTCCGCTTCAGGAAAATAATGCGACAAAAGTTGCACAATTAGAAATTCGCGGTGCTTATCATTAAAATTTTTTATTAGGCTTATCATGATAACAGAATCAAGAGATATCAATATAGAGCAACGCAACTTTACAATTAAATAATTCGACAAGAAGTGATTTTATATATATATATAGAATTATATCTAAGTAATTAAACGGAATGTATAGTAGATAAGGCTATTTTAAAAACGACTCTTTTTAGGATAACCGATTCTTTGTATCGCGCTACCAAAATAGCAGAAAATAATGTCAATCAAAGCAATTGCCTCTACGAAGGTCGTAATTGACCACGAAATAATCCCTGCTACAATTTTGTATTCGACTGAGACTGGAAAAATAGTTGAAATATTCAAATATGATAGGATTTCCTGTTTAGGAGATAGTAAGTTAGTCGCTTATGATGTGTGCGACTGTATCGATGTTTCACCAAATATCATACTTCCAGGCCTAGTTGATTCTCATGTGCATTTAAATGACCCCGGTAGAGCTGAATGGGAAGGGTTCGAATCTGGTACTAAATCCGCCATTAGTGGAGGTGTGACTACTGTTATAGATATGCCCCTTAATGCAACGCCACCTACGACGAATCTAAAGAATCTGAACACAAAAATTGTTGCCAGTAAAGGAAACATCTGGTGTGATGTCGGACTATGGGGTGGACTAGTTCCAGATAATCTTCAGGACCTTGTACCTATGGTGAAGCAAGGTGTACGAGGTTTTAAAGGATTTCTTTGTCATTCTGGTATCGACGAATACAAAAACATAGATGAAAATTATATAAGGACGGCAATTGAGCTTTTAAAACCTTTTAATACGAAAATGTTATTTCATGCAGAAATGGTATCACAAGATCATTTAGAAAAAGAATTATTGGATGATATGCGTAAATATGACACGTTTTTGAAATCTAGACCAGATGAATTCGAGACTAATGGAATAAAATTGATTATAGATTGTTTGACTGGAGTTACGAATACACATCCAAAATTTGGGGCTCACATTGTTCATTTGGCATCAGATAAGCCTTTACCGCTTATTGTCGATGCACAAATCAAAAATTTACCGTTGACTGTGGAGACATGTTTTCATTACCTAACATTGAATTCAGAAGATATACCAGATTCTTGTACACAGTATAAATGCTGCCCACCTATACGTTCCAATGAAAATCGGCTTTCATTATGGAAAGCTCTAAGACAGGGTGTAATAACGTCGGTCGTTAGTGATCATTCTCCATGTATACCTGAATTGAAAAGCCTCAACTCTGGAGATTTCTTGAATGCTTGGGGTGGCATTTCTTCAGTTGGTTTGAATTTACCACTTCTATGGACGAGCGGTTCAAAACTTGATAAACCTATTAGTATAATAGATGTTGTCAAGTGGTGTTGCGAAAATACAGCCAAACATGCAGGAATAAATCATATTAAAGGTTATATCAACGTTGGCCACGATGCAGATTTTGCGATATTTGACCCAAATCAGAGTTACACATTTGAAGATGAGAAATCTCACTTTAAGAATAAATTAACGCCATATAACAAAATGGAATTAAGAGGAAATGTGAAATCAACAATTCTTAGAGGGAAAACTGTATTTTCGAATGGTATATTTGAAGTGACTTCAGCACCAGGGAAACTTCTTCTAGCCGTATAGCAGATCAGTGAACCAGTGTTGGTCACGTTGATATGTACCCATATATGTATCCTCATACATATATTACAGTAAAATTCTTTTGAACTCATCTTACAACCAATAATTAATGACAATCACTATATATTTACCCTGATTGGCATCTCTTCTGCTTACAATATGCATTCAAGGGAAGCTCATAATCACGAAACACGGCATACTAGAACCGATAAAGTTGTCCTAGGAGAAATAAATGTATTTTTATATAGATTCTGCTAAAATTTAATAAAATTTTGAGCCTTGTATGGAGGTAATAGTGCTTTCGTCCTAAATTTTGTGTTGTCGTTGAAAAAGTTCATATCTTGGGATCTAGTATCTATTGGTTGCATTAATCACTATACTTGCGCTTTTATAGGTTTGATGGTCCGAAAACAGGAAATTTCTCGATGCGATAGAAAAGGGAAGCAAACCAAAAGTCGAACTAAAATCAAGGGGACTATCACCTAAAATGAATGGTTTTTAGTTTCAAAGCAAGAAAGGTAAAGAAGCATCTATATATATATATATATATATATATATATACATATGCATATATTACACTCATTTACCTTTTAAAAATATAGTGATTTAATATGCCACAAAAGGAGATCGTACTTTACACACACAATGAGTTTATCAGACCAATTGTTTCTGAATGCCTGATAAAATATTTTAAACTTAACATCGAAATTATTGAGATAACAAAAGACATCGACAGATACATCTCAAATTTTCCTGTGAAAACTGTTCCTGCGTTACTTATTAATGATAATTTGAAATTGTTTGAGCAAATAGCTGTTACTCATTACATTATTAAAATGAGTAACGATGATGACGAGATACAAAAACTATTAGGTAAAAATGAAGATTTTGAACATCAAAGTCATATCGATATGATTTGCTCCTTTTGTACCTCAGATTTCTTGAATGAACTGGTGATGTACTGTCTTCATGACTTGAAAACTATTCCTATCAGTGAAGTTCAGGCTGTTGCTGCCTGTGATAAGTTGAATTCAATGTATCAAATTTTTGAAGAGAAGTTAAAAACCAATAGGTTCTTAACATGTGATGAAATTACATTAGCAGATCTGATGTGTGCGAGCAGTTTCAGTCTTGGATTTAATTCTATGCTGGGTCCTGAATGGAGGGACGAACATCCAGAAATTGTAAGATGGTATGATGTTGTGATACATTCTGACTATTTGAAGGCAAGATTTGAAAATTTTAAGTATTGTGATAAGGCACATAGAATTATCGAACAACCTTTGCCGTGGGATAATTAAGAGACAGGTGCTACATGATACCGACATGAGCACATTCGCCTAACAGTCTAAACTATTTTATAAAGCTTGGCATGCAACAAATTTTTAAACACCTAATATAAATAAGGTACTGGTTATTTTACTCATTATGTTTACTATCGAATTATACGATTTGTCGTGCATACTATAGTATGTTTAATGAAATTTCAAGGGCTATCCCTGATTGAATTGAAACAGCAACTTCAAAACAGGAATTAACTCAAAATTTATAATACAGTTATATAAAATAAAATAGATTTTGAGATGAGTAAGTTTGTTGTATAATTGTCATTAAGAAAAAAATTAAAATAATTTTCGTTGTTACATGTAGTTTTGTTAACTTGAAACATTGTTGTCTAAGCTAACAAAAATATATATCATTGAATTCTTTTTGTGATTACTTTATATACTATCCAGTCTGGTTTTGCAGGAGTTGGTTATTTTTATGGAAAATTCATCTTAAATAACTAGAAAAATGCAAAATCAGGCACGTTTAATACATTTCGTACATTTTCAGATTGGTACCTGGCACCACTCAGGGAGACTGGATGGCAACTTTCGTCCCTGCTACTGTTTCTTGGAATATATATATATTATAAGATTCATTCACCATCTTTGAACATTATTTTACAAATTTGGCATAATAATTGAAAGCATCAATATGGGATACAAAATATATAAAATTTACTTCAAATAAAAAATCAGACCGGGAATATACGTTCCTTTTTTTGTTTTTAAGGTTCTCTTTTGATATTATTAGAAAATGGACAATCATACAAATATAAAATGAAGCTGGTTAAATTATCAATATTATTCTCACTACTTCCTTTGTCTCCTAAACCTTTCCTTATCCAGAACATATTATTGAAGCATTAGAATGCAATGGTACGCTTTTAGTAGATGTTACAAACACGTTGAGATGCTTGCAGATTTTAGGATTTTCGAATAGTACAAGAATTGCAAGTGATGTGGCATATGCGTTAATAGCATTATCGAACAGTACGTTTTCATATTACACTCTTTTAAGTTCTACAGTACCCTACTGCCATTCGAACTTTGCCTTTAACAATGCTTTTACGAATTCTTTTTTTGCCGAGACACCTCAAGATATTCATGTGTACATTATGATAGGTGAAATTTTAAATGACCCCAATATCCTACCATAATTCCAAACAACTTGCTCTGATTTAGATCCTCTATCAATTTTTAATTATTCTTTAGTGATTGGTGATATAAATAAGAGACGATAAAAATTATTAACTTTTGCCAATAATTTCAGATAATAGATCCCAAAATTTACGAATTAGTTATCTCATTTACTGAGAGATATGAGGCAAACCATGATATTATTTTTCATATCTGTATGGTGAAAATTCCCTTTAGACACTTAAGCTAAACACATCCATTCGACCTTATCGCAGTTGTGAAACCAGCCGTTTCATATCGAATATTTTAATATTTAACAAATAGCCTCCTGTAACACGGACACGAAAATTATTGGATGGGATACCTTTGTTTGTGAGGAATAATACCCCAGAAAAGATCCAATTACCTCTAATAAACATTATTTGTCACTCTAGATTGGAATTCTACTATTGAACGGACTTTGCACCAGCGTATGATGCTAGACTACTCCATGCAATGGAAATTAAACATAGAAACCGAAATAAGAATATTTTATATAGTCAGATAATATAAGAAAGTTCATATCCAAATAAGTTTTTGTTTTTCTTCTAGTTTCTTAGTTAGCTTTTTATTCCTGTGTCCAAAAGATTGCAACATGATGACATCAACTTGGGATATACCTTATTATATATATATTGATCTTATTTACCCATGTATCAAAATTCTTCAAGACACTATTTTTTATTAAAATTTTTATTAGATATTTTCCCAATTATTTTTCGAATATCCATATATATGTGTTTTTCAATATCCCATTTTTGGTTTAACTTATATTAAAAGGTAAAACTATTGTTCGGAAGCACCAAATTTAAGACACAGTAAAGTTGGCAAAACAGAATTATTTCCGACCCTAGTTTCAAGAAGAGATTGATTAATAATTGAAAATAGGCTCAGTAGATTTTGGTTAATTGATAATTATTTGTGTGTAATCTATATAAATACTTGGCTAATACTTTATATTCAACGATAATGCCTCGTGTAACTAATAAAACATATGCTGTCTACGTACCTATCACCTGTAAGAATTTATCCAATGAATAATATAGTTTCATGTGTAATTGCTCTTTAACATTTATTACATGGATCGAACTATTCGTTTACATATTTATTATTAAATATATGTTTCTTCTAAAACCTATTCATTAGACCAAATATGTTAACAAACTATAGGTACCTAAATTAGATATTTCAGGTATGTATGCTAGGTAACTTCTCTTTTGCCTGTAAATCTATGCAGAACTACAAAACTTCTAGAATTGGCTATTCAAATAAAATATTGTTCGCACTCATTCACTGTAAGTAACGTTAAAATTATTGCATTAAATATGCTATGGAAAATCTTTAGGCTACTTAAGCCCAAAAATACAAACGCGTACCCAAGTGTTTGGGTTGAGGTTACCTAATTTAATGCATGCATATATCATTTTTGTTTGGCTATTGGAACACCTATTTGAGGAAAGAATTTAAAGTTCATTAGTTGCCCATACTTATGAGCTCCCGATAAAACTGCCATCGTTAAAAGTAAAAAAATACAATGCAATAAACAATATGAATTGCACATGCTTGTTTCTAAACAAGAATATTGTTCCACATCATATCCACATTGTTCATTAATTACAAAAACTAATCTAATGGCAACAAAACAAAGCATACTTATGCATCCTCTCCATAACGTTCCTTTTGATTTCCTAAAATAGAAGGAGATAACGAGTACAGGTATCAGCATAGGAAGAGACCAAATAAAGAAGCTCATCATTTCTGTAATTTTTTTTTTTCTATCTCTCCCTGTACTGTGCTACTGATCTCCTAACATTAATATAAGATTGCCAATTGATGACCAAGGTAGGAGTATATATAAAAAAATTATTTCAAGAAATATTTAAAGTAGATGATAGGATAACACTGCGTAAAAGTTCAATTACTCCTGCTGCATTTAGAACAGTCATGTTGTACTGTCGGCTATATATTTATTTCAATACAATTTACGAACCATCATGCATTGATGATTTTGTAAGAGAATAGAGAGAAGGCGACCTTGCGTTGGTACACTAACAGTCAAAGTATGGATACCTTTGTTGTACGCCATTTTTGTGTAAAAAAAGCTCACCGTACAAATTGATGTTATTGGAAATTGCCAAATATGTTGTCTCATATCAAATTTCCTCTTTAGGTAGCAGTCGCCTAAAGAGGAACCTAACTTTACTTAGGGCTTTTGGTAAGATTTAGCAAGGGAAGAATTAATAAAAGGTACATACTATTGGTTTTTCTCAGAGAGATAACAAGTAATATGGATTGTGAAGTGGAATGCCAACATCGAAAAAAAGTGATTCTGATAGCATTCTTATGGCGAACTTCTTTTCTGTTAAGTCTTAGGTAACCCTCGAGCGTATTGACACAGTTACGCTCTCTCTCTATCTCTCTCTTTCTCTCACTCACTCCATGCGATCGTTGTTGTGAAGATAACTGATTCGTATATAAATCGAAAACAATTTAAAAAATAAAGATGTTATTTTCCTTTAGTTTTGCCCTCTTTTGAAAGGAAAAGAGAGGAGAGGGCAAGTAACTCTGCAGTGAACAACGAACTTCTAATTCTGGCACACAGTAGATATATACCAACTACTTCCGATTGTTCTCATTTATTAGAATTTTCCTAAAATGCGAGATACCGTTGACCAGGAGAGATATGAAACAAGTAAATAAAAAAAAAGAAAGTGATAAAATAACAGGAATTTGAGTATTGGCTTACTTATTTGTTTCAATAAGGTATTTTCTTCTACTAGCCAAAGGTCGACAACCTTATTATTTCTCCCAGAATTAGTAACTCTTACCAGATAATCAACTGCGTTTCATACCGAATGGCTTATCACTAAAGGGTTATAAATCGTGTCGTTAAACTCTCGAACATCCTCAGTAACAAAAAGATTCTGTTCGCTATAGGGACAAACAGTGGGCACCCGGAAGAGCTCTAACTTGGGAAACTACAATACAGGATAATAATACTTTAACATAGTTTTTTCCTGCAATAATAACTTGTTTGAGTAACTTATTTTATAGTTAATAAGGTTCAATTACGTACTAAGCTCAGTAGTATATGAACAGTAGTAATATAATACTTCTGCATAACATATAAAACAAGACATCTCAGTGACCCACTCAGCTGTGCACTTTTTAAGAGAAGCTATATAAGGTCTTCTCGACCTCCAATAGATCTTCTTTCTTCGTAAAGCTTTCATGTACAATTCATAGCTTTTCTCAAATTTAAGTTTTCCTTCATCATCATATTTTACCTCGAAATGCGTCCTTTTGCCAATCACTAACATTGAGAGACTCAAGTAGATGTTAACGGAAAGAACTACCTTACCGTAGCCACAAAACTCTGGAATTTTGATAATTTTTTCCACATTAAGTTTCTTGTACATGTTAATCTGTAACATACTTAGTTGTGAAACCAGATTTACTAAGATTCAGCGTTTTGCAACACGGATAAAGCTGTGGAATTTTACCACAGCATTCGTGGTGAAGATTTCGAAATCACCTTTTCTTAACTATCTACAGAAGAGTTCAGGATGTTGTGTAACCTTTTGGAATGTTTGATTCCCAAGAGATCTTGATTTGACTCAAAAGAGTTCTTCCTGCAGTTCTTTGGACGACTCTCTTTCGACTGGGGCGAAGGTGTGAATCATCTAATTCAAAGATTTATAGATTTTTTTTCTCCAGTATCTTTTGCCACATTTTTAAATAAGTGTACAGAACAAGTTAACGGATGTTCCCCAAAATCAATTTGATGCTACTTTCTA